CGTAAAAATGAAGCGTTCGAACTCAAGAAACCAAACAACGCTACTCACTGTTCTACCGTCTTGCTCTGGCGGAGGCAACTTCCTTGAAACTGTTGAAAGAGAAAAGAAGCCATAGAGTAAATTAGAGATTTCAAATACCAGGCGTTTTCAAAGCTTGCTGAGCAAACGTTTGAGTCACAATCGAACGTTCGATGTGCCTTCTAACGTAACAGTACTGCATGCGTTAAAACGAAGCTACAAATCCCAAAAATTTCTACCTTTCATGGTGCCAGAGGTCATTTTCGTTGACTGTACCATAAAAAAACTTCGATTTTGTGAAACCCAGCTGATTGTGCAGCGTTTAAAGTCTCCCTAAGAAATTCCAATTCCAACACCGATCAGACTACTCGAAGTACACATCCAAGAAACTTCCCAGACTCCCTTGTGATCGCACCGAAAACGTCACAATAATTATCGGACGAGAGTGCGCTCTGATTGGCCGATACTTACATTCGGAAGCAGGTCAATAACAACACGTGACGAAATAGACAGGCTGGATTACCGCAAATTTTCTTCAAACGCGCGATAATTGTCCTAAAAAGTAAGCGCTACTTTTAGTTACGTCTTCAAGAAATATATATTTGCACGGATTAAAATGAGCTGAAATTTCTCTGCGATGATTACTTATTGAAATAAGCCATAAAGGTAATAATTACGAACTCACAATTCAGATGTTGTCGCTTTAGTAAACAAACCGCAACAGCCCCGCCGAGACATAATCAGTGAAGCGTTCCCTAAACCCCACTACTGCTCAATTCATTTAGGTAACCTGAAAAAGTAGCAATCGAATCATTAAAACCAGATTAAATGAGAAAAACACATTTATCTTCAAAGTACAATTTTACAGTATTGTCTCTTGCTGCGATACATAACTCGAGCGACGAAAATATTTCAGTTCTTTGACATAATACATATTGAATTTCAATCATGCGTGAGGCTTTTAATTATGAATGCCAACTGGTCTAGAATTGAAAACAACCAACACACACAAAGTCTCGCAAGTTAAAAGTTTCGAGCTACAAAAACAATCGTTTAAGTTTACCTGGCACAGCCTTGGTGTTACTATTCGATCCAGCGAGTCTGAAGGTTGTCACCGGCATTATGACACATCGAAATCTTTCCCGTGTACGAAGCGTTAACTTTATCTTATTCATGACGGTATTATTTCTCCTGCGCATGCGAAAAATAACTTTCGTATTTCACGCTGGCTCGTGGCCTGAAAACTATGGCTGGTTATCGGAAAAGAGGTTGCATCGTTGAAGCTGTCGAATTCATCTATCGCTTAAGAGTATTCCCACCAAATAACTTAGCTTTGGAGACCTTTCTCTCCCTCAGACGGGAAATATTTTACGTAGTAGACGCCGTGGTACTCCTTGATTGAACAACAGCTGCATACGATTTGGGCTTGCCTTTCACGCCGACATGCCAGCTGGTTATCAAAAAATTTAGCCAATCAGAATGATGTATGGTCTGACCCGCTCTCGTTCCCAGTTTTCCACTAAACGTCAGGCTCTATAGGGTTTAGTTAGTCTTTTTATTACTAGTCTTGTTTTTCTCTGCGCTCTTTGAAATTCGTTGCGCTATCGAACTGAACCGCACAAGAGAAATGAGGTAAATGTGGTTTTAAGAGGAAAAATAATTCAGTGTTCAAAAAATGTCCGATGTCCTTAGACAAATCGGGAACGAAGCAGGAAGTAAACCATTTCTTCCTGAGGTTTCTTCTGTAACAGTCTCCGACTTGGGTTTATTTCCTTTGCCAACTTTTCTCTAAAACAGCCGAGGGTAGACAACAAAAGATAGATACTCGTTGAAGCCCTAATGTTGTTTATTGAATCATCATGAACACGATCATCATTATTGCTATTATATCATTGTTGCAGGATTGTTATTATTATCGTTATCGTCATTATCATTTTTTTTCTGCATGACTGCAAACGTATTCGACTTAATGCTAGTAAGGTTGTTTGGATTATTTACAGTAGCTTCATTTTCTTTCTCGAGAAATGTAAAATTCCTTTCAGAGATTTTTACACTCACTGGTCTCTTGGATGAGACACAGTGCATCAAGCGTGTACAACTTTCATTTCAACAATAATAACATCTCTACTGACTCCTACAAAAATTGACATTTGGCGTTGATTACAGAGGGGGTTAAGGGAAAGCTCCCTTATGATGGAGAAAATCATTATGTAGATCATTCAATAATCAAATTGCAAGCAAAAATATTTGAACTGAATTTTTATTGTAAAGCCTTCAGACCTGCAATCAAATTTCACACCAACCATGGGTTATCTTAACCCAGCTTTGAAGAACCCGGGCTTGGTGAATTATTTCTTTCGGGAAGCAGACCCATGCACCTACTCAATATCTGTGCCCTGTGGAGAGATCAAAGACTAGACTGATGAATTCAGCACTTTTTATAAGGTCCTTATGCACATGCCCAGTGAGCCTCCAGACATCTTTCCCACCTTTCAATGCTCAACTTTTATATTCATGCAGCATAAAGTGGCATTGGGTTGTTTCACTCATTTCCCATCATGGGTAGAAGACATGTGTCACATTTTCAGAGTTAGATTCTCTTTTTCAAATTTCTCATTCTGTATTTAGCAGAAAAAAGTACTAAAAAGGAGACTGCATGGACTTTTTAAGAATATGCTTTATTTACTACTAATGCAAAATAATAAGCTCTCAGAAAAAAGGTTAAACATATAATACAAGCTGAAATTTTGCTCAGTCCTCATATCTTTCATAACCAGTATTTGTATAGTGCACATATCAAAAAGAACTCTCATAGTGTTTTCATCACCCTACAGTTCTAACAAAAATACTAATACTATTCAATATCCTCCTATGTCCACCTATGTCATATGTTGTTCAGCAATCCAATGAGATGTAAACATTCTACTGCTACACATATATTTGTAAATTTAAAGGTTTTTTTTCACTTCTAAATCTTGATGATGTAAAATTTTAGTACTATCATCTGTTGAAATGACAATACAAAATTTCACTCTGTTCTGTGTCTGTGGAAGTGTAATATTTGTACCTGTCCTTTGAAGCTGCAGTATGACTCTTCTCTAACAGAAATCTCTTACTTTTGCCAGATACATGAAACTGATTTATGCAAAAATGTTAAGATCTGCATTTACAATTCAAAATTCAAACATATTACACATTTGATAGTCTGATAATAAGAGCCCAAAAAATTTTAAATTCACATTAAGTATATGAGCTATACTTTAAATCAAATCATAAAGTTGTATCTTCTCATAATGTTTTTTGAAGAGTCCAAAATTACAAAAAGAAGATTCAAATTTAATGTTGTTAGTGGCATGCTTTAACAATTCTTACAAGGACGATGTACTCCTCTACATTTTTTTTGCATTGCATAATATGTATTAAGTCTAGGCCAGGTATTACTAGTTTAGGGTTTTATTACACTGTAGAGCAAAAGTACATCTTTTTAAAGTTAATTGGAGCTTGAATATTTCCTGCCAATATTCCCTTTTTACTTCACTGCTTTCTCTTCTTGCAATATAAATTTCCACACTTTCAAACAATAACTCAAACAGGAACCTTTTCATTTTCTCTTTGAAGGTTTGAGTTATTGGAAGTCAAATGTACTTCATTGTTGAGAAATGATCATCATTCCCCAATTTTATCTTTTAATAACAATGACAAAACTGCTTCCTATCACCACATTATCAACTATTATCATAACATGCTTAGACTTTAAAAAATGCATGTTCAGGGCAAATTTGCTTTTTTGAGTGACCATCTTCAAGTACTTATGTGACTGCAGATTTCTGTTCACAATAATCATGCACATAGTTATTACTAATTTGCAGTAATCCAGTAAAATTTTGGGAAATGAAAGGTTTTGTGCAATCAACTTCATTTAGTTTGATTTCAACTTTTCAAATGGTCTTGGCATCTTAGTGATAATTTGATATTACAGGATTCATATGTTAAGCGAAAATTTGGTGCAACAGGCATTTTCAAGTTTGGGTGTGTATAGTTTGGTCTTGCTGAAAATATATGTTTTCCTGATTGGAATACCTTTCCAAGTGAAAGTAAATTATTCCTGCTGTATTGGCCCTGAACTGGACATGCCTGACTCATTTGTACAAGGTAAAGAAAAAATTAATTCTACCCTGAGTGTAATGTTGACATTTTTCAGATGACTAAGATGAAGTTTACCTTTAAACAAATAATTATCTTTACCTTAGATTCAATACACACTCACTTACATAGGAAAGTATGCTATTAGATGGATTGGACCTAATTAAATGATCATAAAATGATGTTTCAAATGAGATTAGAAGTTTATCAACATTGTCATCTTCCAAGAGAAACACTTGCAATCTTTACTCAGAAATTTCCGTGACTGAGAATTATTTCTAGAAGCACTCATTTTTTTTTAATAAGTCATCTTGTTTCAGTTTTATACTTGTACATTTCTATCAAATTGTAAAAATGCTAACCAATTTTGGCAATTTTACAGGAAAACTTCAATATTCTTTTAATTTTTTTTGTCATCTAAGTATTAGCAATGAAATAGTGCTATTAAACCTCTAACTCCTAAGAGTGACTGGTATCTTATTTCTGCTTCCTGAATAAAGCATTAATATCACAAGAATTGAGGAAAAGATCACCAAATGAAGAAGCTGTGGATTATTGAACAAATTCTCCCCCTCAGCACCTTAGAAAATTCATGGAGAACAGTATGGAGTAATTTAATAAAAAGAAGCTCCAATCAGCCCATAAGGGCAAAAAAATACCACAAATGTGTTGATTAACATTTCATCTAGCTTTGTTGAGATATTCAGACTGAGATGTAATGTTAATATGCAACTTTCAGACACAGTGTGGTCTGTCGGTGGTCTGACATGTCAACATACTCATTTTAGGGTCTATTTGTGCTTTATTTACAATAAAAACAAAGGAAAGAGACTGCATTATAGGCTTTGTGAAAAATATTTTATTTGCTGTTATTTCCAAAAAAAACCTCTTCTCATAGTACCAAGTTTATCACAGAAAGTTGGACATTCATCATGACAAAAAAAAAGTTTATTATCATATATCTGAATATGTGACTAATTGACTTTATTAATGTCAGTATTCTTAAAAACATTGCAGAATAAACACTGATGCTTACACAGGAAAGGTTTGTTCCAGGATCCAGTTTCTGGACTTGTGTTCATCTACTTATTTACCATTTATCTACGCCACACGCCAGTCCAGATCAAAAACTTACCCTTTCTGTTAGTTCTCTTTTTACTGTTCTTCAAAAGAATTTCCTCAAACCTCATCAAGGCATTAATTTGTTCTGTATTCTTTGGATCTTTATATTTCAAACTCCTTTTTAAGCTCTAAAATTAGTTTGGCTTCCTATAACAATAGTATCACATCTGTTACCTAGTTTCACATGCATGGCAAATTCTGAAATAATTTTGAAATAGATAATATCTATGCTGAATTTTAGATCCTTTCATTCACCACCCAAATATATACTCCATTGCTTTAGAGACAATGTTTGCATCTTTCTGTGGAGTCCTGGCTCCATTGGAGACAACCTGCCAACAAAAAAAATACATGTTTCAGAATCTTACATTTTGTTTTTTCCCCAATTAATATTTAATCCGATAAATGGTTTGAACCTAAGGCGCAACATGTAATAGTTTGGTCTGATTATTCAGGTGAGTGTAGTCCTGAGAAGGACTGACGTTTTGACAACTTGAGCCAAAGTCATCATCTGAGTAATGAAAAGAGACATATGCTCCAGAAACAAAATAATATGTCACTGCCATAGGAAAAAAACAACAAAAAAACTACAAATTGCTTACAAGTAAGCTTAAAATTTTAGCAACTGGCTTCACTATTTTAAATGTAATTAAAAAAACCTGGCTATTAACTTGTGATTCTATTTCAAGTAAAGTTTGTCTCATATAAAGACTTCACTCAGATTACCTGATGGTCACTTCGAGCTGCTTGGTAAGCGGCAGTCAATGGTCGCACTGGAACAGGTTTACTCGCTGTTGGAGATGTCATCATGGTTTCATTCCTGTTTGATGATAATGGTGTGCTCATATTCTCTTTCCCAAAGGTTTCCATCACACTCTTCAATAGTAAAAAATGTAGCAAGTGTTAAGATGTGCTGCATTTCTTACCGAGTCAAAGTTCAAAGAACTGCTGAATGAAGGTTAACTACACTCAATGCAACATCCTTTCTAAATGCTCAATGACAGAGAAATTCAAGGATTGATCACTTATGATCTGTGAGATGTAGGGGGTGGTATCTTTGAATTTATAACACTTCCCAAACCCCTACCCCCTCCCCCCCCACCCTTCCACTCCTCCACCGAAAAAAGATCCAATCAGAGGATTTGACCCACCAGCTGAACCTGATGCTTAATGCTGGATATAACCCTTTTAGAAACTGTCAGCCCCTCAGGGAACAGAAGGTGGACCTAAAATTGTAAATTTAATGTACAATTTATCTGGACTTGGCAGTGGTTGATCTGTAAAATGCTGTAAACACCAAATCTTACCTTCTCAATACAAGGCATGACACCAACCATAATGTTACTGCCATAAATCTTTCCATTTTTACTGAGAGCCTGAAGAAAACAAATAGTCAGATCTTTAGATATAAGTGATCCTTGCAGGTACGAATGCTACTGAACTAGTAGTTGAAATGAGACCTGAAAAAAATTTCATGCCCATACAGGATTTGAACTCATGACCTCTGTGATACCAGTGCAGCGCTATACCAACTGAGCTCACAAAATTTTCATATATTTCCAGTCATTAGTCAGATCTTGTTGCGTAATTTTATGCTGTAAAAGTCATTTTCTAAACTTCAAACAAACACAGGCTATCATCAGGTCTTTTCATGATAGGAATGGCACAAGTTATACTGAGGGGAAAAAAAGTAGATGAAATAAATATTTCAGGGTTCAATGAGTACACTGAAAAAATGTAAAGATTACAGCTGTAGCTATTTTGATCTGCATTTTCAAAAGATCAGTTTTTAAAATGCTTTGTGTCTATTCCAAAATGTAAAGTTGTTTTTTTTACTTTCATCTTCTTTGGAGATTTATTGAAAAAGCTTTGTTTTTGCAGGAAAATTTATCCAAATAAGTGTATAAAGAAGGTCTTACCATTTGAAACAAGTTACTTATTGGGAAGTAGTTGTGCCTGACATGTGCTATACAGCTGTAAATGGTTAGATAACTTAAGAATCTTAGCAATAGTTTTTTATTTTACTCACCTTTTTGGCTTGAAGTTTTGACTGATACTGAAGATGCAACCAGTTCCCTTTGGATGTCTAAATAAAATTTTGGAATCATGATAGTTAGTTTTAAAATACTATCACATCAAATGCTCTATTTACACGCATCTATTATTTCATAACTAGTTCAATTCTGGAAAGGAGAAAATTGACCTGACCTTCAAGTTGGATCTTCTAAGTGAAAGCTATTAACCCTTTAACTCCTGGATCAAATTTGTACTTCTCCTTACTGTCAACCATACACTTGTTATAATGTGAGTTCAAAGAATTTAGTATCGGATCAACTAATCATCCCCACATTAATATTTTCTTTTTTCTCATCAATTATCTGGTTGATATTGTAAGGAAAAATCCTGTCTTGGTCACTCATGGGAGGTAAATGGTTAACGACATGTACTTACAATAGACTCAACCTCTTGTTCTGTTTTAAGTGCTGCTGCTATGAACACAATTTGGTATTTTTCTCACTCAGTTCCAATTTTATATCAGCAAAATACTGATTGTTGCTGCATAACATTTCAAAAAAAGTCTAAATTTCTTGAGTAATTTCTTGTTTAGGTTACCAAGGTGAACCTTAGTAACCTTTAAATAAAAAGTTTCTCCCCTTTGCTTGTAACATAAATCAAACATCTGGGTCACATTCTTCCCAGTCTACATTAACTCTGTCAAATAACTTTTCAGGTTTTCAGACCTTAAATGTTCTTGAAAGGAACTATTTTTGATCCTTGTGATGATCTAAAAGTCATACTAACAGCAACCTCAGCAAAACTTACCACACTTTTCATGATGTTACCATACTGAGAAAATTGTTGCAGGATAAATGAGGAAGCAGCTGGTGGGAAACTGATTAAAAAACAATGACAAATAAAAAAATAATAAATAGATAATAATAATAATAATTATAATAATAAATAGATAATAATAATAATTATAATAATAAATAAACAAATTAATAATTAGGAACAAGATTACCAAAAAATTAAAACAAATTCATTTACAAAAATTAAGAAAATGTTAGTCAACTTATGCTCTTTTATATTGGGATTATTAAAAAAATCTACTATATTAAGTAATAGATATATCTTACCCAAATACTGTTACCCAGCATTCATCTAGTATGTCATCACTTGATATCGCCATCCTAAAATACATGTCACCAAATTGTACTCAATTTTTTTTTAAATTCTCGTGGGTAGACTTTCCATCTGATTTGTCTTCAACTTACTCTGTCTGTACTTCAGTATCAGATAAGGGTAAAATAATCACCATATTTCCTTGAATAACCACCCACAAAATCCAGCATCATGAACCCCTTTGCCACATCACATCCATATACAAGGTATCACATTTCACATTGATCACATTAAATGTGTAAGAATATCTTATTTTATCATAATTGGCAGTAATGTCGCAATCTGATAGACCAATTCACTGTTGTCAGTAAGAATACAGACAAAACCACACACATCAATGTGTCACGCAATGGCTGTGCACCATGGGTTCACAACACTTTGACCACTGTGATGACAAATATCTTTCACGATCAGAGTACAGACCATGCTAAACCACTGTGGATTTGTTAGATAGAAATGTCTATAATTTATAAAAGTTCACTAACCCTTGAGTGTAGAATGGATCAATCTGTGTTGGTGAAGACAATGGGCCATGCTGAGGACTGAAATGTTGTGAATCTACACCAGACATTGTGGCATTACCACCTGGGGTAGAATATCCAGAACTCTTTCTAACAGATGTCATAACAGCAGTGGCCATGGTCACATCCATTTGCTGTAGAATAAATCATAATCAGCAGAAGTAATCAGAGATGAGTGAAGCAAATTGGATTCTTATTTCCAAATTGTTCAGAAATTTCAAGACAGTTGTGTATGTTTCCAGGCTTAGGATCACCTTGTTCAATATTCATTGTCAATTCTATTAGCTGTATAAACAGAATTTTTAACTTCTGAAGGTGACTAGCATATAATTTCTCCTGAAAGTATAACCCCTGCATAATGCAGAAAGGTCATGGGAATAATGGAAATGATCACCAACTAAAAATTATCTCCATTGATAAACAAATTCTCCTTGTCAGTGCCTTAGAAAATATATGGAAACAGTAAACAGGAGAATATGAATACAGGACATTTCGCACCAAAGACTTTCCGCACAAGTCTTTTAGCACAAGTTTTGGACCGTTCGCACAATTCTTAGCGGTCATTTCGCACAATAATTATAACTGAGAAACATCAATATAAAAGGTATACTAATTAATACTGATAAAACATTTCACCTTCACATGTCACTTTCAATAAGATCCAACGGCGAGAAGTTAGACATTTATTTACGTAATAACTTCAACTAGATCGAAATGCTTGTGAACACGATCAATATTCTTACTTGAAGAAAGGAACAAATCTTTCTCTCTATGAAAATGTAAAGAACTCCCTATTCGAACGATTACTTCTTTTACTTTTCCTTTGTTAAACAAAAAACCTTTTAGTTTTGACAGTATATCATCCACTACAAACAAACGAACATGACGACCCAACGCTAACTGATGTTAGGGTGTAAAGGGTCACTACTTGGCAAATGATCAAGTGATATTCCACCAGAGCAAAAGGTGCAGGAGATTATTTCATCATTCAACAAAATAATACTAAGATGCATAGATGACATCAGCATTTGGTTTTTTTTTTTTTTTTTATAAGATAACAATATAACACAAATAGATTGCATGTTGCCATGGGTATGTACAGTAAAGTAATAGATCAAAGAAGGCTACAAAATATGGTAAGAATATCTGTGACACACTTGGCTGCAAAATTGTATATGTATTTTTGTTTTTACCACATTTTGAGAAGGGAGCAGTGATACTTGTAGTCACTTCATGCTAAGGAAATTGGGATAAATTCCAGCTTGGGGGGGGGAGGGGGGAGGGGGGAAACTTGGCTGAACAACACAATTCATCTTTCACCTTTTTTTCTGTAGTACAGTGGCCATAGTTACCTGTTCTCTGTTGAAAGGAGAATTGGTGAAATCTGAACTTCTCGCATCGTAAAGTCCTTCAACAGGAGGTGCACTGATGGAATCTTTCGGAGTACAATCCACAGTAGATGATCTAAATAAAAAGACAGAAATAAAGTATTTACAAAACAGGCAAAATGCATGATTTTTCATATATATTTGGCTCAAAGAGAGGAAAAGAGAAAATTAGCCACAGTATGGCTGCAAGATGTGAGGTATTTGTTTTACTTTGTTCTGTTTTTATTTGGTTTGTAATAATATGCATGAAAAAAAAAAGCCTGTCTGATTAGCTGAAAATTAGTGGTAACATGTGTACATATAGCATGTGTGCACTGCCAAAATTTTGTCACTCTTGACTATCTGTGATATGTTTTACATGAAAGTATTAACAAGTAACAACATGATTTCTCATGCAGTTTGGTGTAAATAAGCACTTGTATTTTTCAATTTTTTGTGCAATTTTGTTGCTTTTGATATATTTACTTGTGCTCATTTAGACCAAATTGCACTCCCTATTAAATTATTACTTGTACTTATTTTCATTTCATTAGTCTACCTATTTCATCCCTGTCCCTCCATCACTGTAAGTAACATACTAATACATATAGATTTAGCCAAGCCTAAAAGCAGAGCTCACATTTTTTTTTTCCTGCACGTCTCAAGGGCACAACGCCTTGCCCCGGCCAGGACTAGAACCCAGGTCATCTGACCACTGGACTACTGGACAAAGTGGTGGCATTGGCGTGCCCGCAGTACACTTGACCATGCATGTTAAAAGTAGCACCTTGTATGGTCATACAGTCGTACAGTCGTACAACCAAATTTTTTCGGCTTGATGGGTTACTAGTATTTTGTATAGTTATGGGGCTACGCTCTGCGAGCTCCACTATTAGTTATGAAAGCCTATACTTCGTAAGTCCTATGGTTTTTTTGGGCTTCCTTCCCATTTTCTCCAACCTGGTTAGTACAGTGTTTGTGGTTGTATGACGGGAAAATAAAATTGCTGGAATTATATTCTCAATTATATTTTGGGCCTGTACATTATTTAAGGCAGTATATAACCTTGCAGGTGTCCTGTCTAATTTGTTTCCAAGTCCTTGGGATCTAAGTGGTGTTCCAAATTGATGCTGGTACTGTCGTGGTGATGAGAATGTTCCTGCCTGACCAGGGCTTCCATTGTATGATCCTATAGAAGAGCCCAAAGGTCTTGCTCTTGGGAAGGGCTGTGAAAACAAACAAAACTAAGTAAAATGCCCATGGAATTTAGAATAGGTAATGACATGACTTGCAAATTGCTCTCACCCTTCGGGCTCATACAATTTTGTTGTCTTTGAAAAATCACCTTGTGCTTATCAACACCAAATTACATTTGAAATCAAGTTACTACTTGTTAATAATGTACATGAAAAAAAACATCACAGAAAGTCAAGACAGACGAGATTTTGAAAGCATCTGCACGCTCTTTGTAATTTGCACTCATATTACCACCTTGCACTCATGCTACAACTTTGCACTTGGGTCACATGAGAATGACCTCATTTTAAGCCAACCAGAAGCAGGAAATTTTTTCATGTGCATTATTATCAGGGTTAAGCAGCCTATTGGTTAATTATTAACAAGAGATCTCTCACTAAGTTACTAGGTTCTAAATGATATGCTGTATTTGGAGTTCTTTTTCTCTGTGCATGTCTGTCTTTCACCAAATGACACCATCGTTCATTCAATTTATCATCCTAGGACAAGGAAATTGATGAGGAAATTTTATCACAAATCGCCTTGAAAATTAATAAATCAAAAGGGTAGTCAAAGGCAAGAGTTTGTTGGTAGTAAGTGGCATTAATACGTAAAATAGGGCGCCAAATTTAAACAAATTACAAATGATAATGAACAACTCAAGAATAAACGAATATTTTTCTTAGAGAGGTACATACAAACAAAATCTAAGTGATCAGTGATCATCAACAAAACAGCAATGAATCGATCAAAGATTTAAGTTACTCTTGAATCTAACATACCGAAGCAGCCGGCGAATTGCCGCCAAGGAGATACTGCGGCAAATAACCAGGAGATGATGGAGAACTCATGTGATGCTCGTGAACTGAATAATCAGAGAAGAAAAGAAACGGTAGTCATACTCAATGTTTAACTTGACTGAGCGATCTAGTGGTGTTTTACCTTGATGATCCATGGCGAATTTGCTCTTTCCTGAAAATCGAATAGATTCCGATTCACCTTGCACAGCGGACTTTGTTAGAGAGACAATCCAAGATAGAATAAGTGACGTAGAAAATGTGGTTGCGCGTGCGCGATTTGCATTGATTTATAGGCTGCCATTTTGATCGTGAATCGTGAAGGTGGTCGGCTTCATTGCAGCGTGCAGTTGCGTGTAAAATGACTTTCCTAAACCGTGCCAATCAAAGTTTTTTAACCCATGCTCGCCTCTGGTATCTTGTAGATGCGAAGGATCAGATCAATGGACGCTTAGCTTCGTATCTAAGCCAAGTTTTGCAAGGAAAGACAAAACCTATATACCATCATACAGATGATGTTGGTGATTACGTTGTGGTGATCAACACGAGACATATTGTTTTATCTGGTACCAAGTGGAAAAATAAACTTTATCGTCATCACACTGGTTATCCGGGTGGATTAAAATCTATAACTGCAAGAGAGCTGCACAAGCGAGACGCTACAAGGATCCTATGGAGGGCTGTCTATGGAATGCTTCCGAAAAACAATCTCAGACCTATTTGGATGAACAGATTGTTCCTTTTTGAGGACAATGAACATCCGTACGCGGAGAATATTTTTGCCAAATTGGAAGGCCCAGCCCCCTTACCCAAAAGACTGGAAGAATTCACAGTAGAGGAAATCGAAAACTATCCGAAACTCTTTTGATCAATATTTTGGATGCTAGCCCTCATTAACTCCAACCATCATTGCCTTTTCAACTGTGAGAATGTAATTTTTGCAGAGATAACATCAAGATGAAAAACATGATGAAAATTTTGACTTAACATTTTCATGAGTCAATGGATGACTTTAGCCGTCACGTGGTGTTTGGCTCACTAGTTATATGCACATGACATGAAAAATAACAAGTACAATTCATCATTTCATGGTCAACCACTATCCCATTTACCTAGTAATTTCAAATAAACCGTGTTTTTTTTTGAGGCAATGACACAATTAAAACCATGAATTAACCATCAGTTGCCTATTATTTCATTTATTTACCTGTCATTTACTGTATATTTTGTAGTTACATGTAAGCACCTGATGTCCTTTACTTTACTTTTTGTGGTTCTTGCCACAGAACTCCGAGGTGCTATCGGACTTTCTTGCCATAACCCTTTCAATTCGAAGATCTCGGTAGTAATTCTCCTCACTGTTTGCCATATAATTTTTATGATGTTATTTTGGATAATTTGGTTATCAACTAATAATTTATATTTCTTTTCATTCTTACTTGTCTGGTTGCATTAGAGGATTAAACAGTGTGTAACATAGGAAGGTTCAACAACTTAAAAGTTTCTTTCTTGTAATTTAAAACAGTCTTAATTCCTCCTTCACAATGGCTTTATCAGGTCTTGAGTAGGATTCATAATTTTGGGCCAGATTAGTCTTATTTCTCCCCCTATGACTTATTTTACCTGTCTGTGTTGATGAAAAGTTCACACAGGAGCCTGTGTATGTTTTCAAGTTGCTGATGACCCAAAAAATAAACTGTAAGGCTCAATGACCACCACCCTCTCAAGTCCAGTCCAGGTAGTAATCTGTAACTGTGAGGGGGGGTTGGAAACTGCCACTGACTTCTTAAACTGCAGCTATTAAGCCAAATTATGTTAGCATGCGAGGCAAGAGAATTTCTGCAGTGTTTTTTCTTTAAATTTGCTGATTAGAAAAGCTTTTTCCATGCTTGTCATGGGTGATTCCAATTCTTGGAGAAAAAAAAAACTTTAGGCATAACAAAGAAACTCCATAAAATTCATGTAACTAAATGCATTGTTTTCTTTTTCTTGTCAAAAAAAGGGAAAAAATTAGTGATTACATACCACCTTTTCAATGCCTAAAAAGTGACACTATAACCGTTCATGCAGGGTTTGTGCTTATTTATTGACAATCCCCATAGGTAACTGGTCAAGTTGCCTGGAAGTCATCTCACCCCAAGTCAAGTGGGGAGGAACCTTAGTCATGTCACCCAAACACAAAAGTCAAGTTGCCCAAAGAAACAAATACTTGAAAGAACAGACTTTCTGACTATAAATAAGCAATAAAGTTGAGAAATCTTTATCAGCAAAGCGATGTTTGTTTCCAATAACACCATGAAGATGATGGTCAGAATAGAAATATTTTCCTCTGACAACTCTAAAAGTGTTGTTCGTTTCTGACAACAAAGGGAAGCTCTGTTCATTTCTAATAACAAAATTAAGCATTGTTTGGTATGTACTAGTTTCTTACTCACAGATGTTTCGCAAACTTGAGAAATCTTACCTTTGTTTCTCACAATACCATGAAAAAAACCCTACAACTGTTACAAGAGTATTGTATGGCTCTTTATTGAGTACACAAGTTCACAAGTAACTGGAGTTGAACATAATTTCCCAGAAAATTAGTTGAGCCAACACATAATATGTGTATGCTCCACAGAAACTGTGCTCTCTTAAGTCTAGAATGGGTCACCCCTTGATTTGGGAAGACCAATGCTTTCTGTACGAAGTTTGGCTTTATTAGTCAAAGAAATACCTTTCACCGTTCAATATTCATCAAGCTTTTTTGTCTTAGAGTGAACCATCAAAAGTACCGTTTGCAACATCTACCATTTTGGGGAACTTTGCTTTCTTGGTGTCCAACTCTGTTTGCGCCCACAACAACAGTTTTAACAAATTAGACAACTTGGGTGAGGTTTCTCTGTGTTCTGCTTCCAGAATGGCAGCATTCAATTCACTAGCAACCTTTTGTCTTTGTGAAGTACACAGCAATTCACCAAACGGTGAATCCTCAGGGTTATCAAACGCCAGCAAAGCCATAGTTCGCTCTAGTTCTTCCAGGAACTCGGGAGATTCGTGGCCTTGCTCAGCAAGCTGGTTTTGGGCAAAATCAACAGCCGATTCAATGTCTTTTTCACGAATTAACTCGATAAGGCGTTGTTGCTGAAGATGAAAATACAGATGCGGTTTGCAGTCGAGTATCTCCGGGTTTAACTTGTTCGTCAGAGCGATTGCTTCTTCGATGTCTCCACGTTGGACAGCGGCTCTTATTTTAATCCTTTCGTCGAGATTTTCCAGCGGAGCACAAGGCTGCGTGCCGGATTCCATTTTAAATTTCTCGGCAGCCTCCTTGAAGCCCTCTGTAACAAGGTAGTCCATAATCAGACGGTTCATGTCTGCTCTCTGAAATCGCATGTCTGTTAACTTTGTCATCCACTCCTCTCTATTTCCTTCTTCTCCTTTTTCTGCCTGGTTCATCTGAAAGGAAAAACAGCTTTTCTTCGCGGTACAAAAGTCAGAAATTGTTTGAAAATACAACACTTCATAAATATTGTTTGGACAAAATGGCGGGTTGCGTTATGCTAGTTACTGCGCATGGGCGAAGCTAGTTTCAAATCGAGGCTACTCTCTCGTGTCCTCTTTCCCTCTTTGCTCTCTCGCGATCTGAGGTAGGCGAAATAGCATTTGAAATCGTCCACCATCCTAACTTTAAAGCAACCATCAGACGATAAATTTCATATGAAAAGATTCTTTGATAGTATTTGTTTCCACTTTGCTCCTTTGCCTTTTATATTACGTTTATCTTAGATTCAAGCAATGTCTGAAGTTTCTCGGTATCAGGAAATCTTTACAAGTTGTTATTATTTCAACATTCGAGCAGTGAATTTGGCTTGGTTTAGAAAATGAAATAATTAGTGATTTCAAGGTCATAGTTCTATGTGAGAATATGCTTCACCATACAAAAATACAATGGTTTCAGAATTTTTCCTGTCGTGGTGCACGTTTGCAAATTCTGTATCTGTTCATCATTTTATGTTCGGAACGGTACGAGTTAGTTGAATTGTGTAGCAAGTGTTTAACACAATCTAATAACGGGTTGTTCTCTTCTAACGTGTTATACAAGAACCAATAATAACTACTTCTATTATTGACAAAAGCTACGCTACATTCTGTGTCGTTCCTATATCAATCTCAGTGGGATGACAGCAATGAGCAGATCACTTCAGAAATTTTTATCGATATAGTTGTTCTGCATATGTGAAACTTCTGCACAAGTGCATCTCAAAAAAGTGAACAGATGAGCATCTTGGCATTCTTGTAAAGGTGAAAATGTGTCAAACGTTCTGGAAGGAGATGTGAAATGAGGTCTAATTGTGGCATAGTCTATGACTACTGTCTTTCTTCATTGTTGCATAAATCCAACTACCCAATGTGTTTATTTGTATGTTCGTTAAAAAAACTAAGTCTGTGAAGAAATTATTGTTATTCTCAGATAGATAATAGCCTTTAACTCTGTCTTTAGGAACACCAATTATGATAATTAAATATTCAGTCTTATGGTAGATCAATTACAAGGTTTTGGGAAACCAACTATAGTATTTGTGGGGCTTATTTGTCAGAGTCCTACTGCAATGGTTATAGTTTTACCCTCGATTTCAAAATATGACATTGGGCACTGTGCCAAGCTTTAACCCTTCAAATTCTAAGATCTGATTGTCAATTCTCCCCTTTAGCTACTAAACATTTCCTTGTAAATAAGTTGCGAGAATTTAGTGTTAGATCTAGATAACTTCTACCTGATAAGTTTGAGTATTCTCATGACCTGTTTTCTGGGTAATGTTTTGTTATTATAGTGGGAAATTACATGTTGATCATTTTGGGAGTTTAAGGGTTAAAATTCAGTTTGAAGTTCTCATGACTACCTTGCATTCTGATTAGGAGAGTTTCTGTTTTTTTCATTATTTACATGGAAGGTTCAATGTAAGATGGTTCTATAAGTTCACCATAAGGGAGATTTTATACTTAGAAAATTTGAAGTCCCAGATTTGAGCCATGTGTTGCTCAGCATGTATCATATATGTGTTAAAATTATTGTATCTTTGGATTCAAATTTCCAGCTGACTTAGGACAAAATGGGAGCATACAAGTACCTTGAGGAGCTTTTCAAAAAGAAGCAATCTGACCTTTTACGGTTTTTACTCCGTGTACGATGCTGGCAATACCGCCAACTCAATGCCATTCATAGAGCCTCACGACCCATGCGCCCTGACAAAGCTCGTCGTCTTGGTTACAAAGCCAAGCAAGGGTATGTGGTTTACCGTATCCGTGTAAGACGCGGTGGACGCAAACGCCCAGTACCTAAAGGTGCAACTTATGGTAAACCTGCCAACCAGGGTGTGAACCAATTGAAATTCCAGAGGAGTTTAAGATCTGTGGCTGAGGTAGGAAGTCAAAGCACTCTTAAATTTTCTACTACTTAAAAGCTGATTTTTATTTATCAGAAAACCCTGACAGGGAGGTATTTTCAGGATATCTTTCAAACTGTGACAAGTTACGTGGACAGATGAATTTGATTGTGAAATTGTAAACATTCTCAATTTTTTGGGATAGTTGACGATGAAATGGTAAATTGAGAATGTTTCTATTTCCTTTATGTATTCCATATATTTTTGAATAATTTGCTTCAGTTTTGTTTGTTAAGGATGATGGTGTTTTAGCCTTAGTCCTGACAATTTCAATTGAGGGGGCTTATTGAAGTGCTGATTTCTTTAAATTCCTTGATGAGTAGCATATAGCATTTTCTATGAGTGGAAATTTAAACTATATTTGTAATAAATAGATCAGGGGTACTTGCCAAGGGAATTTTTTTAAAAAGAGAGATGGTTTTAAATTCTTGTTCTCAAAGCTTGGCTAATTCTTAGCTCTAGCAAGGCCAAGTTGATATCTGCCTGCCTATACAGAACACTTGAACCTAGGGAACTTTATAAATGGTTGAGGCATCTGATAATCATGATATGACAGTCCATTGTAAGACTTGATGACTCACCATGAATTAGGCCATGCCCCTTCACTTACTTATGAGATATGAAGAAGTGAAGGCTCAATTCAAGGGAGCCTTTGGTTTTTAACCCTTTCACTTCCATGATCTCATCAGTAATTCTCTTTACTGTCTGCTATATAATTCTTATGATGTTGCTTGGGAGAATTTGGTATGGATCAACTTGCAGTTTGTTAATTTGTTATTTTTCTTTATTCTTACCTCTTGCCTGATTGATATTGTGTAGATATTGTATTGATATTGTAAGGAGAAATTCTGTCTTGATCACTCCTGGGAGTTAAAGAGTTAAGACTTTTTAAGCATCCAAAGGAACTGAATCCTTCTGTTGGGACACAACCTTTTTAGAATTAGTTCTCTCTGCTTTACTGTTATTTAACAATAAATAATGGTGAGTTCAGTTAACTGGTGTTTTAATCTAAAACTATTTCACCAAATCCTTGAGCAATCTCAGTGTTTGGGCTGAAGGCAAACCTCCCATGTTTTGTTGCTTAGAATTTTTCATTATTGAAATACAAAATTTGTGGGAAGAATAAAAACTTGTGCAGATTTCCTCAACACTTTTGACAACCAAGTTTGTTGTTCTATGCTAGCCAATGGGGGGAAAGAAGCTGTCATGGAGATACGGTCAGAGCTTTGGATTGACTGAAGAAATAAGCACATTGTGCCAACCCTTAAACCACTGATGTCATTTGAACTGTATTTTACAGGAGCGTGCTGGTCGATACTGTGGTAGCCTGCGAGTCCTGAACTCCTATTGGGTGGCAGAGGATTCCACTTACAAATTCTTCGAGGTGATCATGGTGGATCCCTTCCATAAAGCTGTTCGTCGTGACCCAAGAATCAACTGGATCTGCAAACCAGTACACAAGCACCGTGAGCTCCGTGGGCTGACCGCCGCTGGCCGTAAAAACCGCGGTATGCGTAAGGGTCACGGATACAACAAGGTGATCGGCAGTTCCCGTCGTGGATCATGGAAGAGGCGCAATACGCTGTCTCTTCGCCGATATCGTTAATTGTTTGATAATGATAATAAAAACCAGCAACTGTACTATTTTGTCCGTTTATTGTTGTTTTTTAAGAAATAGCTTTCAAGGGAAATACTTACCTAGCGGAGAAATTTTTTAGAAAACATCGATCGCCATGTTTTTTATGATTTGTCGTCAGAAGTAGGAAGTTTGCTTGAAGTTTACCCACTAAAACGACTGACCTGGGCACAAAAAAAATGCTACCGTGGGAACTTTGACCTTACTTAAGTATCCTTAGTACAGGTTCTTCCCTATGCAAAATGTGAGGTGAAATAAACAGAAAAGAAAGGAAAGAAAACTCCTGGGACTAGGGTATCCCTTTATTTAAAGGCTCAGGTTTGGCATGGTGAATCTTTCCTTAGTATGGTACATCTCTAATCGCTAAAGGGTATCAAGTCTCTGGATTGTTTCCGGAAAGGTGTCAAGCACCAGTTTTTTTGATTGGCATTTGTCATGTTATGAAAAAGGAGTAGTAGATGGAAGTGACCGAGCCCTACCTTGAACTTTTTCTTCTATATCGCATATTTAAGTAAAGATTATCAGGGTTTCCCAGTAGCGGCTGCCCATCGATGGTGTAGTAGATGGTATGGGGGCCGTACGGCGAAATCCAAACACAAGCAATCTTGGCATATGGCGGTATGAGTTCATTAGGCAGCGGTAGACCAGTAATCGAATTCTAATAAGGGGATCGACAAACTCTTTCGATGCACCCGCAATCCTCTCTACAAAGGTGTGTGGATTTCAAGACTGACTTTGTAGTATACTATAGTTCGGGAAATTACGAAGGAATGAGTTATCGTCGAGATACAAGAGCACGTGACATTCAAGTCTCGTTTCTGAACTTCAGAGTACACTACGCCTGTACTGAACCGAGTCATGTTTAGTGTTCGTTTCAGTCTGAAGCCGCTGTCAGCTCTCCGTTGCTTCGATCTCTTCACTTAGGAGTATAAGGAAACCTTTACAAAATGCACCAATCAGCCCATTTGAAATCTAGAATGATCGAGTACGTAGAATCAGTTTTGTGTAATTACACTGAAACGAACTGGAATACAGTCCACGTTCTAAATTGCTTGAATTGCTTTATCAGTGATATCGGACCAAGGGAAAAGCCCTGTTTACTTAACATGGCTTTAAAAAACATTGTTAGACAATTTTCTCGCAAAATTATCGCCTTAAGGATTAATTGGTTATCGACTAGCAGTTTTTGAAAGTGCATACGCAGTAAAGACTGAAAGGCTCAATAAACGCTTCGGTTTTTCGACCTTTACATACTTTGACTTAGTCAAAAAACGTTTGACATGCGAAAGAACGGCTGGGAAGACGACTATGGTTAATATCAGAAGCAGCGGAAAAGTTTCTTTACAAACCGATCACTTCGGCGTGAACCGATTGTCATGTACTGCAGTGGCTCTGGTGCAATTTTAGCCTGTTTCAATTTTTCTTTATAAGGTCAGTTTTCTGGTAAAACTGCTAAAATTGTTTACTTGCGTTTAAATACTTAAAATTCCCTCTTTACTTTCCTTTCAACATTCACCGCAATTCTTTATTCCGGAAATTAGCATTTTGCTTAAAAAAATATTCGCAAACCAATCTTATTATTACCTTTGGTTGCTACGAATCATTTTGACACCAGCAATACTGAAACCGTTCAGGCAAACTTTTTTTCATTCGACGTTTCCAAAACGAATCAATTTGGAAAAATAATCACCAGCCACTGAGTGTGAAAAGCATCTTGTTTTCTTAGATGTCACCGTCTATTACTTTAAGGTAACTTAGGTAATCGCGATGGAAAAAGATTGCTTTTGTCTCCGACAAAAGACAGCAATTTTACGTCAACAAATTAGTGTTTTTCCGCTTAAAAGCTGCTAAAAGCTTAGGAAAATATTTTTTTGACGAGATCACGAATTTCACCAAAGAAGTATACCGCCAGGAAAACCATTCACTTCACGAAAGCGATTCCTCGATCGTTATACCAAGGAGAAGTTGCTTTTAAAAGGTTCGATTGCAGTAGTTTAATGTAACTGAGAACTAATTTTCTTTAGAACGTTATCAAATCCGATGTCGTTTAAACAGCATACAATATTAATAGAGACATTCAAATTGGGAATGGAAAATTTAGAGGAATGCCGGCGCGCCTGGCTGATTGTTTTTTTTTTCTTTTCCTTTTCGTAAAGCTTCGCGACGCGAAAATGTGTCTAGAGCAACAATGCTATTGTCAAAAATGTTTATAGAATTGTTTCTGAGCTTTCCAGTGTTGTTTCTGAGTTTAACAGCTTTGCTCTTAAATTTGCGAAGTTTTCCGCGATTTATTAAAAGGTAAAAGGTAGAATTGACCATGCAATTACCCTAATTTCAATTGCAATCGGATGTCGGCTATTGTTCCTCTCAAGGGAAAACATATCACGAAGCATATTGATCCAATGACTTATGAAATAATTTCAGTTCCATTCCTTTCGCCTCTGAATATAATCAGAGTTAAAAACCAGTCTTTAAGCTTCCAAAACAATTGGTAATTTATTGTTTTCCAAGCCATCAGTGAAATCTCGTAAATTATGCATTATGTTTTTATTTTTGCATCATTTCTTTCTGAGCCAATTTCTGTACTGTTTACCGGAGATTAGATTTGTTTTAACACGCCATTATTGTGTTCAAACGTCATAGACGATGGCGCATTCGCCTTTGAAAGGCATCAGATGGATATTACGATCGTCCCCATTAAGTAACTTTGCTCTTTCCTTAGCCGCTGCCATGAACACAAAACCTGTAAAGTAACCACGTTCTCTCGCTTCATGATCTTATTAATTTACGCCCTCGCGTAATTTCCTTTATCCACTGAATATCAAATTTAATTATACCAGATTATGCATTCATTTTAAGATACCACGTTGGTGCGAAATTGGAAAAAAGCATGGATTAACTTAACTCCTCTGACAGGTTAGGCCAAGGTACAATGATAAACATGGGTTTTTGCCTGGTACAACTGTCACGATTAGCGACGTAATGGCGGCGGTACGGTTCTTTTGTCAGGTCAGTTAGTTGGCACAAAGGACTATTTCCTCACAACCTCACAAACAGAATCGACTGGAAAATATATTAGGAGCGAAGGGGCTATCCACTCTTCGCTTACAACTCGGAATCCACGAGTATTTGCTATGGCTGAAAACCAATCTACAAGGTACCTTAGTCCATGTCAATTTTTGACTGACTCTTTCGAGGACCCTGAGAATTTGTACATTCACAATTTAATTTGTTCAGTTTTGAACTGTATATTCATGCTGCCAGGCATTTGTGGAAATGTACTGGTTATTTCAGCAGTGTGGAAAACTCCATCTCTTCAAACTCCGTCCAACGGATTACTTCTGTCTCTCGCTACTTCTGACCTGGCCGTAGGAATGTTAGCTCAACCTTCATTTTCAGTTTGGCGAATTTCGCAAATGGTAGGCGACATAAAAGTTCACTGTGTGGCAGGAGTAATGTCAGAGTCTTTTGGCTGGCTGCTCGCTGGTGTTTCATTGTTTACAATTACTGCCATCAGTTGCGAAAGATTTCTGGCTGTACACCTACACTTACGATATCATGACACTGTAACAAGACGTGGCATTGCCAAAGTTGTCCTCAGTTTTTGGTTAATTTGGATTCTTATCACTGTCATGAGATTTGTTCTCATAAACAGGAAAATTCTCAGGATCATTGCCGTCAATTTCCTGGTGCTAACCTCGACTATCATGTTTATAGCATATATCATGATTTTTAGGCTGGTTCGACGACATCAGATGCAAATTCAACAACAATGTTTCACGAGATCCCAAGCCAACGGCCGTAATCCTGGTAATAAGACCATCGATATGGTTCGATATAAACGGTCTACAATAACCATGTTATACATTTTAGGATTTTTTCTTCTCTGTTATTTTCCATTTCTGGTCGTTATGCTTGTTCAAATTGCCATTGGAGAGACTCTCCAAACAAAAGTTGCCTACTTGTACACAGTGACATCAATTTTTATCAACTCAGCAGTAAATCCGTTAATTTATTGCTGGCGTATGAAGGAAATAAGGATGGCGATCATGAAAGTTATCAATTCAGTGCATGTTAACGCTATCGAGCCAGAGAGGTCAAGAAGTTGCGTTGCAACAAAAAGACATCCTTCTATCGAGTTAAAAACTATACAACCATCGTTCATTACGGAATATAGGGCATTTAGCGAGAGTAATTTAAATACTCAGATTTTCAACTCTATAAAATTTGATGTAAGCAACGACTCGAAATCGAGAGAAGTAAGTTCAGATGAAAATTATCCAACTCGATCTTTAGAACGAATGTACAAAAACTGCACGAACTAGCAAATAACTAATAATTTCCAAAATTTTCAGCTTATGTTATTTAAGGACTCGAAGAGAAAAAAGCATGACTGTGTTGGCAGAACATGAAAATGTTTTGATAACACAATCTCTTCATCTAATAACTTACACTAAAAACGTGTGGGTGAAAAATTTAATAGTTCATTTAAAGTTGTCAAATTTGATAAAAAGGAGTTCAAATTATCGACCCGTTTCTTTCAAGATTTCATATACAGGGTGTGATATTTTAGGATTGTGATCAGTTGCCAAAAATTAACTTTGATTCAAAACTAATCCGAGTATGGGTTTTTATTCAAAGAAGTATTTTTAGTCCTCGTACCTAAAATTGGTCGTTATCTGAATAATTATCTGTTTAAAACCAGAGATTTGCTGGTGCTGTTTCAGGTTTTCAGGTTTCATGGGCGGAAATTTTCTGCCGTACTCATTTTACTCCCGAAGTTAAGACGTAAATATGGAATCCTTAAATATGTACGGATTCAATTTTTAAAAAAACAGTTATTTTATCTTCATAAGAAGTATCGACCTACCTATTCACCTGTCATTATTCATTCTTAGTCATTGTCATTCAACTTTGGGTACAAGATATGTAGCACTACCTCCCCCACAGCACTTTTCTTCACGGTCCCTAAACCTCACCCTACCCCCCTACTTCTGATGAAACTCAATCCGGTGTTCAGACCTAAATAATAGTCGCTTTAGGCTTTTTAATCGCTACTCCTGTCAATGGCACATTTGTTAAGTGAACGCCGACGAAATTCTTGCTTATATGCGTTCGATAAAAGTGGCTTAAAATTTCTCATTGATAACTTCCCAAACTTAAGGGTCTGTTATTGCGTCAACCAAGGCAGTTTTTTTCCCTCTTCCTTCCTTTGTTATGACAAAGTTCTAGAAATTTATTTTATGGCCAACATGTGTGCGGGCAAGAATACGTTACGATGTGTGAGGTATGTAGTTCAACTGTCTTTATTTTATTGATTATCACTTTCAGAATAAGCTGAATTATACACGATATCTAAAGTGCAAAGTTTTCTAGCTTAGGAAAAAAAATCTTGGGTAAAGTCCTTGAAGGGTCTACTTATTTCCTTTCACTGAAAGATAGTCAATTGAAAGTATTTGAAATTTTCATTCTTAAAAGTTCAGCACTACAGTGTACACGGTACAGATCCTTCTCTGACAAAATACACAATACTGGTGTTATGTTCTGCGGTTTGAAAAAACAATATACCTTTTCTCTTGACTTCTCACTATGGAATATTCAGTCGAATCTTGGGATAACAGTCATATTCTGATAATTCTCCTTTGTCCCAAGTCACCGAATTTCAGTCAAATTTGATGATTGCATATCACTATCGCTTCGTAGATCATATTACGTAATATCCAAGGATTTGACTTATATAATATTTCATGATATATATATCTATCTATCTATATATATATATATATTTGAGCTTGAGAAGCTCAAATATCTTTTTTGCTACGACGTTAGGAAGTCTTGTGGTCTTGATTTGTTTATGTCTATTTAAATAAACTCATCGTTTGGTTAGTTTTGTTTTATTCTCCATAAATACTTTCAGGTAATAATTATCGTCTTAAACGATTTTTTATCCGGAGGGTATTTCAGTAGCCTATGATAACTTAGATACTTGTATCATGTCCCTGGCTCAGTAGCTTAGACTTCTCTTAAAAATTTCATTTTTAGACACATCGTGTCTGTACTTCGCGTCTCTAAGCAAAATGATCTTCGTCGCTCTGCGGTTTGCATCACGGGCTCAGTTTAACAAGACAGTGTTGATTTCTCTCATAGCCTTCTCAACGAATGTCAATGAGATGGCAGAACTTTCTTGTAATCAATGGTCAACTCTTCTCCCTTGCGGTGGAGTAGATCATGTTTATTTGTTTTGACGTAAAAATTCAAGAAACGCTTGGCCTGGGCTGTTCAGGCCAGGCGTTTCTTTTCACTGATGATCTTCGATAACTTTCCATTACTATTCCTTCTTCAGTCTCTTCAGGCTTAGTATTCAAATCAGGGTGCACTGCAGATTTCACTTTCATTTTAAAGCTAAAGATGAAAGGGAAGTAGAGAAATTAGTTGAATTTCTTCATTTATGAAAGGAAATGTCAAAATTCCTCACATTTTACTTAGTTGTCTTACTGGTTTTGCTACTTCGAATGAACGCTCCTCGAAAAAAACGCAAATAACTAACAACGTATACAAACTTTGGAAAAAACTACACGCCTTGAAACTAAGGAAACAGGCAACCCAGCTGCACTTTTAAATTCTTCAAGAATGATTTGCTCTCAGGATTGTTTTCTTGAGATTAAGATCGTCATGATTAAATAAAAAACGGGGGATTACGTTTTGAAAATTCTACGTCATAAAGTTTTCCTTGTGGGTTTTTTGACAAATTTTCTCTGGTAATGCCTATGCTGAATAATTTTTCCTTAAAAAAAGCACTCTTGTACGGAAATACGTCACCTTAAAGATAACGCTTACTTACCAAACAACGACGATGATAATAATAACGGCTATTAGAACAACCAATCCTACACTGATACCAATCACAATCCATTTCCAGCCATTGCTGTTTGGCTCCAGTGGTCTCACTGTTGGGTATTCTGTAGGTGAGCTGGGTTCGAATAAAGTCTCTATATCAGAGATGTTCGCGCCAATGGCTGCCTCGATCACGGGCTTGTAAGCTATTACAATGGCGACCAACGCGTCACGGGGAAGAACTGAGATATTTCCAATAAAAAGACCAGCAGGCTGCTGTACATAAAATGCAACCTGGAGAGAGTCTGATGAGTTGCTAGGGTAACCAGGCAGAAGATGAACCTGGTCAGCGGTGTAGAGGTCTAGGAATGGAGAGCGTCTGACAAGAGAAAAATTAGTTTAATAATAAAGCATCAATGTAGTGAGGGATGGAAATCATTGATCTGCAGAAATTATTCGTGATAATTTTTGGAAGCTTTAACGAGACACAGTAAGTTGTAAAATCAGCATGGAAAAGTTAGTTTTTAATTAAAATCGATTTATAATAAACCATTACTTATTATAAACCAGTAAAAATTACGGAAGTTCTGCTCAGGAAAGGTCATGGGAAGAAAGGAACTTTAAACTAGAGGATACTGTCTGAATTAGCACTAGATCATGCAGTGCTAAAATGAAAAGAAATGCGAAAGGAAGAAGAAGTGGGCAGGAGAAATAACTGGGAAGAGGAACACTGGAGGTATCTGCAACCACGAAGGACTCTAACTGAAAAAGGAAGGCCCACAGAAAGCTATGTGCCTTTCATCTACAAAGATGGCGCACCAAAAACAAAAGCGTATTAGTTTCTGTTGTAATCACCTTTTTCGTCGTTTTTCTTTTAGTGAGCACGTTGTCCTGTTCTTACTGCAAAACTCGGATGTAGCAGACGCCAATTTCTCTTTAAAAGATTTATCTCTATCAAAATCCCACTCAACCTGCCAGAAAGAACATGAATAAAGTTTAATATTGTTTTGGAAAGACTCCGTGTTCCAATAGAAAACTATTTGAGCTCACTCAGATAACGTTTTGACGGCGGTCTGCAGTGTAAAATTAAAACATATCGCTGCATACGAATTTCAGTGACATTAAAGTGCTTTGTAAAGAGCGCGGCCCGCGTTTAATTAGACGCTATGGTTAACATTATCGCATCTTGGGATTTCAGCTCACACATCCAACCGTTTGATTGACAGCAGTTAAATCACCAAAGAGACTCGAGTATTCCCAAAGCAAAATCTGTTGACCAATCATAGCTGACTAGTTCTGGATATGCAAATTATTATGCCGCGTATTAAAAAACTGGGCACTGTAAGTACATGTCGCGAAAGACAATAGCATTCTAAGCGATTAGTCATGCAGAGAAACGATGTTATGAGAAAATTCATCTGTAATAGATTTCAGGTCATTGGCCATTCGAGATTCAACCTGTTTGGAAAAGGTTGGGCCTATTTATTGCTTGCTAGTTTACTCGCAAGAGTTGGCCATCATAGTTCCTGGAAAATATTCTACACGCGCACTTCTTTAAAGCAAGAAACCGCTATACACTTGTGCAAGAAACCTAATAAGCTTAAGGGCGTACCCTATAACATTTTTGTTATATGATCTGCAGCACACGACGTCATTTCTATAACTCGAGGTACCTACCCCACTTGGAATTGAAAACTGAACAGCTTCTAGCTTCTCGTTTTGTGATGGGATACGTGGCTCAGCCAGGTCTGGTATAGGGACTGTCTCGTTTTTCTCCAAACCTGGGTAAATATTTAATATGTAAGAAACCTTTGAATAATTACACAAAATATACTTATAAGTTTTCTTCATCACTTTCGATCAGTTTTCGAGTTTTGTAAAGAATATTTCTTTAAGACTAAATCTCCCAACGTCCTATCACAGGTGCCGCAATCTGATTGGCTATGTACTCATTATTTGCTTCGTTAAAGATAGTGAATAGAGTGAGTGGCCTAACAATGCGCAGTTATGAACAAAGTAAGGAAATGGTCATTATTTATTGCCAGGGGGGAGGAGTTTGTTTGTACCTGATTCTTCCATAAGGCTTTGTAATATTTTTATGACCCCCCCCTGTATACTCTGTTGGCGACGACTGATCTCCTTCCATACCCCCTAAAAATCATGTAATCCCCCCCCGAAAAAAATCTGATCCACCCCCTGGCGATAAATAAGAGTGGTTACTAATGTAGCCACAAGAGCCTGTCTTATTGTTAAACGCTTCACGACCAGTAGATTGAGCTTTCGATATTTGAGCTTGATATGACTGTCAAGCTCAAAATTCAACTGTCAAGTATCAAAACGCAAAGAGCAGAATGACACTCCAATGCATACCCCAACTTCCAGGAAATTTTCGTCTAAAAATGATCAAATACCTTTGCATTTTCCATCAATAAAGTACAAGTCTTGATCACATTCACACTTGTAAGAGCCACGAGTGTTGACGCACTTGTGAAACTCATCCGTGCAGTTGAACAAGTCATCATTCAGACACTCGTTGATATCTGCATGGCAAACACGTTGAAAATCATTAGTTAAGGCAAAAACTTATTTCAAACGGTCGTTTGTCTGTAAATGCATCCATTCTCTACACCTTTTTGCTATCAATTAAACTTATATATAATTTAGTTATTTACCTTCACACTCGTAGCCATCTTTCTTCAATTCAAAACCCTTCTCACACGAACACTTATAACTTCCTGGGGTATTTGTACAAATCTGATTGCACCGATCAAGTTCTTTAGCTGGATCACATTCATTGATATCTACAGAGAAAAAAGTACAACGGCTTTAGTTGGTGCTTCTATATTGTATTTCAACGTTTCAAGTAACATTTCGTTGTCAGTTGGTATCAGCCACAAACTATCCAAACGGCATCAGTTCTATTTCTTCGTAACTAGGGAAGCAAGTGAAAGTAAAGCCGGCTTATTGCACCACATGCGTTGTGGTAAACGAGTCTACAAATATAATCTAAATAACTTTATAACTTGTTTAACACTCAAAAGGCTCATAAACATTCTTCCTTTGGTTCTCGTTCCAAAAAAAACACTGAGAACGATCTACCACTAACTTCTTAAGGTTGAAGAAGAAAATTAAAAGCTTACCTGTACAGTTCTTTTCATTGCTGTCCAGCTCGTAGTTAGCATAACAAGTACAAGTTGCTTCATTGCTGCTTCCTTGGAAGCAAACGTGTTCGCAGCCATGATCAGAAGAACAAGATTTTTCAGCTGCGAAGTGAAGGGAACAGTAGTATCATAAGTAAATACCGTTGTTTGATGGTGTTGATCCGATATGGCGGAAGAAGTCTTTTTCAACTTGAGCTTTGCCTTCATTGCATATTAGCAGAAAAAAATATGTACGAGGCGATTGTACAAAAGATTTCTTCCAACAGATGTATTGCTTTGCTCGATCGCTCGCTCGCTTCGGATGCCGCAGTCAGCATAAGATGACTGTTTGCATGTTAGAAGATGCCTAATAAGAAATAACACGAGGCCTCTCGGTAAAGACTAACTCACCTACACACTTCCTCCAGTCACTAGGATCAGTTTTGAAAAACTCGTTACATGAACAGTTGTAACTTCCCTCACTGTTGATACATTTTTGCATACAGTCGCTCGATGGATTGCATTCATCAACATCTACGTGCCAAAAAAGAATATAACATTTGTTTTTTTATCATCGAGAGAAACCTTAGGCGTCTTATTTAAGGGGAATGCCAGGACGTCAACATTTCGCCCTCTAAGGTTTAAATTGAATTTGAATCAAACCAATTCTAAACCGTGATTAGTGCTAGGGAGGACTTGTTGGGACTTTGGTAGAGTGGGTCATTGGGGAGGCTAGCTATGAACTTTACGCTGAACGAGGGCTAAAAAAGATAATTTAAGCTTTAAATTAGGGAATTTCTTTTGATATTTCATGCGTAAATTTGATAGGAAATGTTGAGTTGACAAGTATGATGTTTACGTCAACGGAAAAAAGAAAAATGAACTACGATTTCATTATCTTGGTCTAGTTCCACATTAAAGCTAAGTGCCAGAAATTCTCCTCTAATCTTACCGTAAAGTTTCAGGAGTTTGAAAACAAAAGTCTTACCATCACAGCTGCGTCCGTCTTCATTTAGCGAGTATCCATCACGACACTCACAGAAGAAAGAAGTTGGAATATTGACACATATCTGCTCACAGTTGTTTGATGAGTTACTTTGGCACTCGTCATAGTCTAAGGAAAATATTGCATAATATTTAACCAGAATTTTATGATTGATTTTATCATCCTAGACATCTATAATAATTAATAATTTTCAGAAAATTTCCACGATAAAAAAATGCAACTCCTGACTGACCTGGTGTAATGGAAATTTTAGTGACATTTCTGAGGAAAAGTCGCTCGTTGTTGTCAGGTCGTATATTGTGTTCTATTCACAGTTTTGGGGGAGATTAGGCAAGAGGGGGGCGTTTTGATGCAGTAAGTCATTTTTTCAGGAGACGAAGAAGCAAAATATATATTAAACATTTTTTGGCGATATATCTTACACTTACAAAGTTCTTTTCCATGCAAAGTTGTTTTATCTTTATTCACCTTCACTCTTTCACTCCCACGATATCATTAGGAATTCTCCTTACTGTCTGCCGTACAATTCTTATGATTTTAGTTTGGAGAATTTGATATTGGATCAACTCATAATTTACTAATTGATAGATATAAACAATAGCTTTATTTGGCGCGAAAATATACGAGCACACTTTCGCGCAAAATAGAGGCTATTGTGCTTATTATCCTTCAAATATTTTGCAACGCGCGTGAAAAATGTTCACGAATAGTTAACTGTTTGCTGCGTGGGAGGTTTTAATTTGAGTGTTCTCTGGCACGATTTTATGAACAAACAAATACTTCCCTCTTCCGCAACAACCCTGAGACGCTCTCTCATCCTGAATTAATTTTTAAATGACGACTAATCGTAGTGGACGTAAGGTTTGAAACTTGGGGAATATCACCTGGGTGATATCCTCGGATATCCTGTCACGTAATGTGTTTAGACCAATCGTGCACGAGGAAAAATATTAGATGGATCATAATTTTCGTCATTCCCATTACATGTCTGCTCGATATTGTATTGGTACTGTAATTAAAATTTTGTCTTGGTCACTCATGGGAGTTAAAGGATTAAGGTACATTCTATCAAATAAAACCCCTAAAGGTCTTCCCCACTTGAACTTTATTGAGAAATCTACAAGTCAACCCACCAGTACACTGAGCTCCATTTCCAGTGTACCCTGATGGACAGGGTCCACATTTATATCCACTGGAATTAGCTGGTGCAGGAAGATCAATACACTTAACTCCCGCGTAACACGGCTGACCATTCATTTCGCAGGCGTCAATGTCACTGTCACAGAACCTTCCTGTGTATCCTCCTTGACATGCGCAGCCCATGTATATAAACTTGTTATCAGTGTTGGCTGTGTCGCCTTCTTCTGGTTCCACGCACTGACCACCATGTTGGCAGGTGCACATTCTAATGGTTGGACTCCAACTGACGCTTGCACCTTTATCGTCAGTAGCAACGAAGGTCACGTTAAACTACAAAGGAAGAAAAACTTCGTATGTGGATTCTTCCCCTTTGTCGATTTGCCAGGGTTACTTTTTTAGAGCAAATTGAACTGTAATTCTGCAAAGAAAATGTTTAACGAAAAGGTTTTCAATTGAAAAATTTACCTTTTGTGATGACGTTACGGGCCAATGAAATGACAACATGTTTCCAGTCTGGTTCCACGTGGCTCCTGCAGGTTTGTTTATCACGTGAAAAGTAATGGAGCCCTCGTCCTCAGCTGTTACATTCAGCTCAACTGTTTCGCCAAGTGTGGCATTTATCAAATTTGAAGCGTTTACTATCTTAGGCGGGAAGTTGTCTGTAAATATTCCAAAAAAATGAAATATGCTAAGGTTAAGATACAAGTGACTATTCTTCGAGTTTTAAATCCCAAAAAAGTTTCGTAAAGTCGGAATATTCTGATTATCGCCATATTGTCTAATGTCTAGCACTTATGGAATCGTTGTACATCTACTCGCGTATTCTAATCACGTCAGTATTAGGTCAGTCCAAAAAAATTTTTTCAATAAAATATGGTCCAGCGTTGTTTGCAAACGATTTTTGCTTTTATGTTGGAGAGCCATTTTCATAAATTGTTCGCGTAAAGGAAGCCACTTAGGAAGTCAAAAGGTAAAAGGAGAAAAGAATTTGAACTCCGAGAAATCTCCAATGACCAAATCGACATTTTCTCCTGAACTCACCCAGTGTATTCGACTCGTTCACCAGCTGGACGCTTATATCTTTGGTTACCATGCCAACAGACAAGTCGTTAGTGGAAGCCACGTCAAACAGACATTCGTGATCATCTCCACATTGTGCTTCAGCTTTCTGTCTTAGACTGTCATTATGCCACGTGATGTTATCAGCAAACATGGGCTCAAATTCAGGTTTCGAATAAGTGGCCACACTTTCATTATCAGCGTAGGTGAAGAGAGACTGGGATTGGTTGATTTGCCCTGGGAGATATTATCATTAATTAGTATAATTGCTCAGGTGATTATAGAGATGGGCGCGTTCTGATTGATCCAGAAGTGCGTCATATCACGTCATAATCTCCTTACGCGAGGTGATTATGGCAGGAACGTTAACCTTCAGAGAGGCTGTCTCGCGTTTTGTCAATGTTTTCGCGGAAGTGATGAACGCGATAGCAAAAAAAAAAAACAATTGCGAAGAGCACAAAATATGCTATTGAATTAGGCGGAACACTTTTCAAAAAGAAGATATGAATTTTTTTGCTTATTTAATTGAGTAAACCTGCCAAACTCCTTTCTTATCTTGATACGAGTAATCACCACAACTGTACCACAATATGCTCGATGCTTTCTCTATTTATACAACAGAATTCGAAAGTACCTGAACAATTATACAAATAAAATTATTCGCCCCAGGCTCAGGGAACGTTGTGGAATAATCCACTCGGCTACGTCCCTGAGATTATTCAACAATGTTGACTTCGCCTTCGGCGAATAATTGTTAAGTAAGGAAAGAATGGGTTAGATACATTTACAAGATACGAAATTATGTAAAAGTAAGACTAGTAAAGTTAAAACGGAACGGATAATATATCCTCCCATAATCTGCCTGTATGACTAATAGAGCAAGCTTCTATTTTTATTTTTCTTCTGTTTCTTTATTTTACCGCCAAACGTTCTCACTTTTAATTATACAGCTTGATAGATATACAATTACTATCAGCAAAAAAGTTATGTCTTTCAAAATGTGCTAAGAACTTTTCTCTTTCCTTAGAGTAGCGACTGCAAGTAAAACAATTGGTCTTCCCTTATCCCAATTTCTGGTTCATTAAACAACTAGAGATCTCGTCTCTCCTCCTTAATGAAATTATGGTCCGTCAAAGGCTGCTTGAGCTTCTCCTGAAAGTTCACTGGTAATCATTCATGTTTTGTGTCTGCAGTTACAAGATCTCTTTTAAAGGGCATGGTATTTACTCGCAACGCGAGCAACAGTACAATAACACGCGACGACCATTCGCCGTATAGTAGTGCGCCCAAACACTAAGAGCCAGAACACAAGGATCAATCCTTGATCCTTGGCACTTGCCATATTCGTTGTGGAGAAGTTTAATGCGTTCATATTAAATAATATGGTACTTACATTTGACTCCAAATCCGTAGTGAATCTCTTTTAATGATGACGTCGATGGCAAAACCGTCCCGTCGGGCAGTGTAAAGTCATCGTTAGGGTCATCGTTCCATGTTCCCAGCAATCCTTTTGTGGCGTTTTTCAAGACATCACCAAGAGTTACAACGAACGACATCATTTCCTTATTCTCGCAGAACTGTACTGACGATGTCGACGGGAAAGAAACTTGTAAACAGTTTTCTTCTGGTTTTGAGATGGAAAGATTTTCACCAACCTCCACAGTTCGATTTGTTAAATTGCTGTAGCCATTATAGGGTGTACTGTCAATCAATATATGGAAGCCACCTAACAAAATCAAATAGCAAGAGTTGGATTCTATTGGCTCTAAATTGAAAACTATCTTAAGAAACTCTTTATGGTGGTCAATTTACATCATCAACTCAGATGATAAAACCAAATTTTCCTTGTTAAACTCCCCAACGACGCAACACAAAAGTTTCTTTACAATATTACCCCTTAAGAGGTTTTCGTTTTCCTACATGACAAGCTCTTCATACCATTCTCACCTCCGTCTTTCACTCGAACCTCGATGGTGCTCGAGTTTTTTTCTTTAGCAGCTCCTGCTGAGAAGATGGTTGCTGTGGTTGAGTTTCCTTGAGCAAGTTTTGTTCTGGCCTGAAGATTAAATGTTCCATTTTCTGCATCCACCATAGTGTATTCACCAAGACCGTTAAACGTGTAATTCCCACCGTCCAGTGTCTTGATATGCGGATCACCCCAGAACCACCCTGAATTAAAAGAGAAACACTCCTCTTAGCTTGCTTGTGTTGCAAAGAATCTGAACTGTATAGAGTGAGTGGCTTGAGCCCAAGAGTAAAAGTCGACAAAGCTCTTTCTAGACAACTCTCCAGTACATGACAGTTGCGACAGGTAACCTTTAATTCCAATGTAGTTTTACCTGACCCGTGGCTTAAACTGACAAATTAACAATAACATGACAAGATTTACAAGAGATGACAAAGAATGATACAATAAGGTTTCGTACCTCTATAATGTAACTATCATTATGTAAAACTCACGTCTAATTGGAGGCCTATACAGCCGGCAGCTATCAGACGGACGATAAGCATAGAACAAATGGCAGAAAGGTAGATCCACACAGCAATACTGGTAAGCCTGTTCATCTGTGTAAAAGGTTTGGACGTGATTGTACCGGTTATAGAAAAGTGTCACTTTTACCCGTCCACCATCAGGGGGTCCCTGCTTGAGAGAGGCCCAGTCTTCCCACTGCGTGGAGTAACAGCACTGTTGTCTCATCAAAACACCAACTCGTCCAGCACTCCTGGTGTCGATATAAAAGAACTTGGATCTCCTGGAATCAAAACACCAATCTGGCCACGAATTCCACCAACTCCAACTGAATCGTCCTCGATCAAACCACGCCTGCCACCCTGTACAAGGGCAAGCCATTTCCCAGTCTGATTCTATCAATCGGTAATACCAGTAACGGAATTCCCAGTGTTCATTAAACATGACCCAACTAAAGCATTTCTCCAGTGCACCTTGTCCATTGCTGTTATCAATTCTCCAAAAGTATCTTCCCTGCAAACCCGTGTTTCCTTCCTTCTTATCGAGGTCGTACATTCCAAATGTACCAGAACTACAATCACAAACATTTAACTCAAAAACCTTCTTTCGCTATCGTCATTTTTAGTAATTAGAATATAGGGTCGAGATTTCTATCGGTTCACAGTGAGTGAGGACAAGAGTCGAATAATCTTTCGCGCTCAGAAATCAACAGCGAATAAATTAATTTTTATTAAGCGTTTGAAGTTGTCCTTCTGTTAAATAAATATTGAGGCCTTGAGTCACTGTATTTCTTTTTTGTTCCAAGCTTTCGCCGATCTTCGGCATCTTCAGGGAATGTCTGATACCGCAGATCGGTGAAAGCTTGGAATAAAAAAAAACATTAGTTCGAGGCTCAATCAGATTGTCCATTTAATTGTTATTGCATAGATTTAATGCTTATTCAAAACTTAACACAAAGAAAGGCGTAACTTTTTATCAAATAACGATACAAATAAATCACAATTTTAGTCTACTCTATTTTCTCGCTAACTATCATAGAATAGATGGCGAGTGATGTAGCCAATCAGATTGCATCACTCGTAATGAAACGCTAACAGATTTACACTGGTTATAGAAGTTATATATACATCGAATTTCGGGGCTCTGTGAGAAATTTCAGATTAAATTTGAAGGTTTACACCTATCTACACCAATTACAGCAATTCTCCGAATTGAAAAAGAAACCACTTTTGAAATTGTAAAGAATCATTGAGAAAATTTCACGCGTAAACATAACCCTTTATAAGTCGGTTACGTGGATGAATATTCACATCCATTAGCTGCTTAGCTAGCTCTCTCATATTGGGTCATGTATTACTGCCTTTGTGGAAGAATGTGCGAGTTCCAATCATCCTGTTTATTTTTCATTTTCATACGCTATTGACTGATAAAGATTGTTTGGGATATTCAGATCTTTTAATATAAATATGTTCAAATTTGATTTATCCTACCCTTTCATATTGATATAATCTTTGCCATCGTTCCCTGCATTCCAGCCAGCCACAGGAAGACCATAGTAGTTCGTCCAGTAACGGTAGTTATTCCTGCGAATGGTCGAAAAAATCCTTACTGTTACGTATTCTCTCAATTGTTTTTCCCGGTCGTATGAATTTCTGGTACTTCGGCGATGTCCTTACTTCCATTACAAACACATTTAAATGTTTTTTTTATTCTAATCAAAAGCAATTCGTAAGCCCTTAAATTAATTTCATCAGATACCATATTGTAGCTCTTCGATAAAAAGTATGGATGGTAACTAGGAAGAATTGGTAAGCCAATTTGAGACCAAGAAATCATTAAAAAAAGACCATAGTGTAATCTAAATTAATGTGTTAGATATAAATATCAAAGAATGCCGATGGGACCTACTAATGTCAGACAAAATTTGTAGTTATTTCGTGTTTACTTATATGCAATTTTAATATATATTTTTATATTCTGACTTTGGTTTTCATTTAGGAGAGGGGCATTGGGGCCTATTAGAAAACGAAAAACCGTGGAAAAAATCATCCAAAACCGAAAAACCGAAAAAAAATTCGATCAAAACCGAAAACCGCATGCAAAACTGTCTAAACCGATACATTTTCAAATCCCATTTATTAAAACCCTGATCGATCCGATACAGTGGTGACAATTGGAGCATTCAGAGTAACCTACACTAATTTTATTACAGGATTTATGAATGCCATGGACTTGGCATTCGTATCTTCTAGTATCTGCTTAAATTAACAGCTGCTCTCTTGAGGACCTCGGGCGTGGTCTCTGCGGACTCAGCAGTCAGTAATGGAAAGTAGTTAAATTAAGGACAAAAGTCCTCCATAGGATTGCAATTTTGAAGTCACAAAAAACTATAACTCTGGAAAGTTTCATCGGAAATCCCTAATCCAACATTTCCATTTGCGAACTACGAAAGTTTGGAGATGCTATTGGAAAGTTGAATCAGTCAGTCATGTGCGGCCTGTAACCCATTCACCAACTTCGAGGTGGCGTTCATAAAGAACCTCTGGCAATGTTCTGTGCTTAGCCGTACCCTACGTGTAGCCGTACCCTCCCCTCCCCCCACCTTGGGGGAGGGGGCGGGGAAAGGTTCGGCTATACGTTGGCTATCTAGGGCCCCCTGTGATATTTCAATTGTCACGCATTCCTCTCGATAACATTTGCGTTTCGCCGCTAGTCGAGATCAGTGGAGGAAAAACGAAAACCCGTTAGTATTTTTCGCGAAAACTGAAAACCAAATGCTAAAAAACGGAATATCCGCAAACCGCAATGAACACCAAAACCGAAAAACCGATCTAAAAAATAGCTAAAAGCGCAAAACCGAAAATTCCAATGCCCCCCCTTATTTAGAGGCGTAGAAAACTTACGGATCTGCGTTGATCACCCATTGAATTCCTCCATAGGGATAATTATACATCAAGAATGTGTTAAATCCATTCGTTATCAAGACAGCTTGGAATGTGTTACTCTGGAAAACAATAAAAACGCAGGAACAATTCAGATTTTGATATTTTAAAGCAGACATAAATATTTCCTGATAAATGTATTTTACCTTAAATGCAACAAGTCAAGTTACTGCTGTACGTTATACTTCATGACTCATACGTGCATTCATCACTTCTGGGTTGATAATGTTAATGAACTACGTGGAGTATAGTTTAGGGAGTCATAGGGATTGTTACTTCGAATAACTTGCAATTTTCCCCTAAATAATGGCAGGCAATCTTTAAGTTTTCTTCTTTTGATGTTCAAACATCTGTTAAGTATGGTCAATCTTTCTCCAACCCGGTTTGAGCTCTTGCTAAGCCGACAAATAAAAGAGAAAAAAGAGAATAAAATGGAAATCCCTGCCTTTTTTTCGTATTTTTTGTGCTTTTTCAGGATTTGACGAATTCGTCAAACCAAAAACTCAGACACTGTAAGGTCCAATTGAAAATTAGCAACTCTATGTCGTTAACTCACATGGTTATTTTGGAGTTATGATAATTAAAAAAAGTGTAAATGCTTACTCGAGGACAATTGAACGGAAAACCCTGCTCGAAGTAACTGTAGTAATAGTAGTATGAATAATACACGTATGGACAGAGCTTTTCCCACGTCACAACAAGGACCCAAGTGGCTGCAAAGTCGTCAAATCCTCCGGTGTAGCTCTTTACATGCTTTGAAGCTATAGCCAGAATTTCATTTGATGTTTCTTGCGTTTGTCTATACACTTGATAATAAACCTTTGAATGACCGTTTATGAATGCAAAATTAGTATCAGTTGTGGCCCAGAAGGGAGCAATAATACCCATGTTTCTAAACCACCAGTAGATACCAAATTTCCGAGGCCACCGCCAGCTCCACTCATAATTCAATTGGATTATACCATTTCGACAAATCTAAAAAAAAGGTGGTAAAAGAATGATAAACGAGGTTTGTAACATTGCATGCAAGTATACTTTTAGAGCAACCACTTCTTTCGTAAATTACTCTAACCCTCGGCTGCCAAGTTTACCTGGCGAATTCATCATTAACAAAATGATCAAAATAAAGACTGCTGTTCCCCAACTGGGGCGTGACACATTTACATTTGTAGCATAATGCATTTATTTTGTGACAACGTACGGAGAGATAAGCATATCTTTTGGAAACCTCGCTTCTTATTTTCCACCCTTGTCTCTCAATCAAGACATACGCTCGATGAGCTTCATATGTTTTATGGAGGAAATTTTCAAATACAAAAGGGCAAGAAAGCAAGATGTCTCTTAAAAATCTCTCATAACAAATAGATGACCGAGTGATTTTTCTCAGGTAGTCTTAGGATGTTCATGCGCTTTGGATTGGAGCAGTATTACTTTCATTTTCTTTAAAATTTTCTCCGCGCACCTTCAGCGCAAAAAATTTATATTGGTTGAAAGGAAAATCATTCTGTTTAGTCTCTAATAGGAAAATTTTACTCACGTATAATTTGTAATGCCTTTCTGTGAAAAACGGAAATCCAGTCCAATCTGTGTTGATCTTCAAACATTGGTCGTAGGAGAAAGAAGTATCTTCAAGACGAAGTTCATAATCCTTCTGATCTGGACCGTGAGGATACAAGTTGCTGGGGATTTCTTTGAATTAAAACAAAAATTAAAACAAGAAGTACATCAGTGACCTGCTCCATGACTTTTCTGGACCGCACTATTATATGGCATATTTCACAACAGATAATTTAATTATGGCTTCATGTCGGAACCAGTTTAAACCGAAATAACTTTTCCTTTCTTGAAACATAATGACAAGAAGCTTGGCAACCATTTTCTCCAGTTTTTCGGTGTACTATGTTATTGCACAATTGGTGTGGTATAAGCTTTTAAAAGAATATTATGAAAGGGAGACTTCTTTCTTTATTGGAGGTGTATTGCAAATCAGAAATTTCAAATTAAGCCATGTTAGTGAAATATGTTTGGGAAATGTTTTGTTGTCCTCAACATATAAAAACTAATCAGAAAATTGAAGGATTTCAAAATTAAAACATAAATTTCCTTCGCTGTTATTAGTTTCAAAAGAGAAAATTTATTTTCATTAGAGTTTGAGGCCATCTGCAATAGTTTCGAATATTCTGGCGAGAGCAGGTTTAGATTCGATGAATTCACATAAAAAGGCACAGAAGAAATGCTTTCTTACTTGTTGCAGCAGCTGAAGAGAAAAAAAAAGAAACGCGATTATTAGATGCAAAGTATGTTATTTCTATGAGAAGAATCTCATGTATATCTGATTCTTGTTAGAAGAATACTAGTTTTTTCCCACTGGAACAAAATTCTGTAAATATATACTAGGTAAAGTATTTTTTAGCAATGTACTGTATATAAAGAATAATTCATGGAAAGTCTGCCCGTATGATATTTAATAGATAATTACTGAGGTTCGCAGCATTATACCCAATAATGCCGCGAACCGAAGTAATTAACTATTATAATTATTGACCCTCATAAAATCCTATTGTTCTCTCTCTGCATTACATCGACGATTTCAGTCGCCCCTTCATATTGATGTTTTGGTACACCAACAATGCAACTGGCAAGCATTGTCCAGTAATAATACAAATTGCATAATCCTTTTTCATTCCCCAATTCAGCCATTGTTAACTACTTGCAAAGATGATATAATCATTGACTCTCATGAAATCCTACTATTTTCTCTCTCCAACAATGCAATTAGCACGTATTGTCTAGTAGTTATACAAATTACATAACCCTTTTCATTTCCCGGAATTTAGTCATTGTTAAATCCTTGTAAAGATTATGTAACTTTCCACATCTTTCAGGTGTGTGATTGAATTTCATGCAAACGTAATTTGCATTGTATATTAACGCAATGCACTTGGTTATTTGAGTTGTTTGTTGGAAGGCAAAGAGTTGCAACTGTTTTGAAGCTTGATGGAGGATTCTTCGGAAGACGAATCTGCCATTTTCATAACGCAGAGCCAGAGGTCGGAAGTGAGAAAGACTGTCATTGTCAGATGTGCCCTAAATAAACTGTAAAATGTTTTCGTCTGTACGTCTCCTGGAATGGTACTTCTCATGGTGTATTCATTTACTTTTTAACTTCAGATCTTCATCATAAATTATGCGCGGACATTCGCGAATTTTCAAAAATTACTGAGTGGAAAAGTAACGAAGTAAATACCACAGTCATGCAGCAATATTAAAAATATTGCTGGAAGCAGGCTGCATTATTAAAAATATTGCAGTGCAGCCAGCCCACTGCAATATTGAACGTTTTAGCGCGTTTAGGATTACCCCTGATAATTTCCCTGCTACCAAAAAGGACCGCCACCGTTTTCCTCAGACAGTTGGACTTGACTGAATATGAATACTTTCTCAGGCTGAAATCGCCGATATAATGCTGAGAGAGAACAATAGGATTTTATGAGGGTCAGTAATTATTTACGCATGTGACGGTAGTATCGGAAATCGAACGAGTGAGATTTCTGATTCAAACCTACGAGATCGTAAATATCATATGGGCAGACTTTGGTGTAAAGTGTCTATTATATACATACGGAGATTTAATTCTTGTAAATGACAATTTTTTGTTCATCAGATTTAAGTTTAACTCTCATAAATCGATCATGAAAGATGTAAACCATGTAAATTACCTTTGGTGAAAATCAACAAAACACCTGTCAACACTTGACACAAAACTTCTTAAGCTTAAGGGTTCATAATCTTCTCTGTCTTTTCGTCAAATGGAGGGAATGAACTCCTCAAGATACATGTTCAATTTCCTCGTTCTTTCCGTCACAAAAATCGTTTGAACAGTTTTAAATCTCCCTGCTTTGTTTTCTCATCGTTTTCTCTTTTGAGCTTTTTTTTCTGTATGCTTTCTATTCCACAGAATCCTGCACAGAAGTACCACAGTCATCTTTAGTAAATAACTTGGCATAGAAAACAGTCCTGAGGGCGGATTTGAAAAAACATCGCGAACAGTCTGAAAAGCGAAATTCTGCCAATGAAGGTTGAATTACAGTCGCTTTACATGTGAAAAAATATGATACGCGGTTCCCTGATTGGACGCATCGTTTTCCTCACACGTGAAAAAAAGCGATACGTACCATTTGATTGGCTCTCGGCTTCTTCGACCAGCTTTCAAATGAAGATTTATTTCGCACCTATTCAGTCTGTTAAATCTCAGTATGTACATAATAAAATACGGTACGTGTAAGAAAGGAACGTAACACATCTTTAAGTAGGTTATGAAATATAATGTACTAGTGATTGTGTTTTATGCTTTTTGTTCCAAAAAGTAACAACATCAAGAGCAGACATGGTTTGATGCTACTCTGGTTTACAGATTTAATGAATGTAACCAAAGAAGTTACAATTCATAGACCCAACGTTTAGACACTCCTGTCTAGTGCCTTCATCAGGGGTAATCTAAACGCTACAACAAGAGGTCTTTTTATATGATCACTAATTAGCGGCCTTTTTTCTGACGAGGTGTAAATAGGCGTCAGGAAGCAAACCGCCATCGTCACGATTTAAAGGAGCATGGGCGGAGTTAATATGCCAAGCCTCCAAACAAAGGCGCTGGTGGTAACGCCGATTAGTGGTGATAATTTTAGAATTATCCCACTCAATTGTATGGTTAGTTAGGCAAGTATGCTCCGATAAAACTGAATTTTCCTTTTTGCAAAGGAAAACCGCTTTTTGGTGCTGTTTTAAATGTGTACCAAACTGACGTTCGACGTCCAACATGGTAATGGAAGACTTGGAACAAAGGGCCTAAGCCACTTCACCGGTTAAACCCTTTTTCTGGAAACGATATGTCGATGATGTTATTTCTGCGGTATCCGGAAATGGTAGTAGTGATAGGTAGTAACAAGTGCAAATGAAGTAATAACGCTTATCTCAGAACTGTACACTGAGGAAAAAACGGTACGACGATTACCTTGGAGAGTTACTCAACTGCTAGTAAATGATTATTCTAAGTTAGGAAGGAAGAGAACTGTGAAAATCTCTGCTTTTTATATTCTTAAAGGAAGTGTCGCCTAAAAGGAATAGGCTATCTAAGCCCGAGTTTAAGGAAACGGCTTTCGTGTAACCTGAAACAACTATGTAAAGAATAATATTGCGCAATACTTCCCAAGAATGGCGACTTTAAAAAATACATTTCACGTTTGTTATTAAACGGGACAATTTACGAATGATGAAATACTTACGGTCAATTTGGCTGCTTGAAGTTGGAGGGATACTATACACTGAACTTGATGTGGCACTGCTACTCGAGGTAAGTGAGACACTAAAGCTGCTGCTACTTGAACTTGGTGAGACACTGGAACTGCTGCTACTTAAACTTGGTGAGACACTGAAGCTGCTGCTGCTTGAATTTTCAGAAACAGTAGAGCTGCTGCTACTTGAACTTGGTGAATCGCTGGAGTCACTACGACTTAAAATTGGTGAAACACCGGAGCTGGTGCTACTTAAACTTGGTGAGACAGCGGAGCTGCTGCTACTTGAACTTGGTGAATCACTGGAGCTGTTGCTACTTGAACTTGGGGAGACGCTGGAGCTGCTACTGCTTAAACTCAGTGCTACAATGAAGCCGCTGCTATTTGAAATACCTGAGACAATGGAACTGCTTCTACTTGAGCTTGGTGAAAACACGGAGCTGGTGCTACTTGAACTTGGTGAAACACTGGAGCTGCTGCTACTCGAACTTGGTAAATCACTGGAGCTGCTGCGACTTGAACTTAGTGAATCACTGGAGCTGCTGCTACTTGAACTTGGTGAGACACTGGAGCTGCTACTGCTTAAACTCAGTGCTACAATGAAGCTGCTGCTACTTGAAATCTCTGAGACAATGGAGCTGCTTCTCCTTAAACTTAGTGAAACCACGGAGCTAGTGCCACTTGAACTTGGTGAAACAATAGAGCTGCTGCCACTTGAATTTACTGAAACACTAGGGCTGCTGCTACTTGAACTTGGTAGATCACTTGGGCTATTGCGACTTGAACTTGGTGCGACACTGGAGCTGCTGCCACTTGGATTTACCGAAACCTTGGAGCTGCTGCTGCTTGAACTTATTAAAACACTGGAGCTGCTGCTATTTGAACTTGGTGAAACAATGGAGCTGCTACTGCTTAAACTCAGTGCTACAACGAAGCTGCTGCTATTTGAAATCTCTGAGACAATAGAGCTACTTCTACCTGAACTTGGTAAAACCACGGAGCTGGTGCTACTTGAACTTGGTGAAACAGCGGAGCTGCTGCTACTTGAACTTACTGAAACACTGGGACTGGTGCTACTTGAACTTACTGAAACACTGGAGCTGCTACGACTTGAACTTGGTGAATTACTGAAGCTGCTGCTACTTGAACTTGGTGAGACACTGGAGCTGCTGCTACTTGGACTTACTGAAACACTGGAGCTGCTGCTACTTGGACTAAGTGAAATACTGAAGCTGCTGCTACTTGAACTTGGTGAAACACTGGAGCTGCCGCTACTTGAACTCCGTGAAACACTGGAGCTACTTGAACTTACTGAATCACTGGAGCTGCTGCTACTTGAACTTACTGAAACACTGGGACTGGTGCTACTTGAAGTTACTAAAACACTGGAGCTGCTGCGACTTGAACTTGGTGAATTACTGAAGCTGCTGCCACTTGAACTTGGCGAGACAATGGAACTGCTGCTACTTCGACTTACTGAAACACTGGAGCTGCGGCTACTTGAGCTTACGATAATACTGAAGCTGCTGCTGCTTGAACTTGGTGAAACACTAGAGCTGCTGGTACTTGGACTTACTGAAATACTGAAGCTGCTGCTACTTGGACTTGCTGAAACACTGACGCTCCTGCTACTTGAACTTAGTGAAGCACTGGAGCTGCTGCTACTTGGACTTACTGAATCACTGGAGCCGCTGCTACTTGAACTTACCAAAACACTGGGACTGGTGCTACTTGAACTTGCTGAAACACTGGAGCTGCTGCGACTAGAACTTGGTGAATAACTGAAGCTGCTGCTACTTGAACTTGGTAAGACGCTGGAGCTACTGCTTCTTGGACTTACTGAAACACTGGAGCTGCTGCTACTTGAACTTACTATAATACTGAAGCTGCGGCTGCTTGAACTTGGTGAAACACTAGAGCTGCTACTACTTGGACTTACTGAAACACTGGAGCTGCTGCGACTTGAACTTGGGGAATTACTGACGCTGTTGCTCCTTGAACCTGGTGAGACACTGGAGCTGCTGCTACCTGGACTTACTGAAAAACTGGAGCTGCTTCTACTTGAACTTAGTGAAATACTGAAGCTGCTGCTACTTGAACTTGGTGAAACACTAGAGCTGCTGCTACTTGGACTTAGTGAAATACTGAAGCTGCTGCTACTTGAACTTACTGGATCACTGGAGCTGCTGCTACTTGAACTTGGTGAATTACTGAAGCTGCTGCCACTTGAACTTACTGAAATACTAAAGCTGCTGCGACTTGAACTTGGTGAATCAGTGAAGCTGCTGCTTTTTGAACTTGGTGAAATATTGGAACTGATGCTATTTGAAGGTGATGAAAAAAAGAAGCTGCTTTTGCTTGAACTCTGCGAGACAATGGAGTTGCTGCTACTTGAACTTTGTGAGACAGTGAAACTGTTGCTACTTGAGCGTGTTGAAACACTCAAACTGCTGTCTGGTCTAATGATATTAAGGGTGCTGCTTGTAGAGATGGTGTAGCTATTGCTTTCCGACGTTTGTGAGATACTGAAGCCTCTGCTACTTGGATCAAGTGAAATGCTGAAGCTACTTCTTAATAATAGTGATGAGGTTTCTTTTCGAATAGTTGAGCTCGGTGACATAAAATAACTGGTACTGCTTAAAACTGAAGAAGGGCTGTAGTTTATATAACTTGAACTTTTAAGGGCACTCAAACTTCCGATAGTAGAACTCACAGACTGGCCGTAACTGCTGCTATCTGAACCTAGGAATTCAGTGAGGCTGTTAGTGGTAGTTAAACTATGATATGATCTTGTATAAACTGTAAAAATGTGATGATTGTATAATAATTTGCGAGAAATGAGGTAGTCATTACTGATTATGATTCCATTGTATTATTAAACGAAATTCTTAGCTGAATTGTCTCCCCAGAAATTTCGGAGGACTATAGATTTGAGAACTTTAAACTACTACGATTCGGCATAATCCATCGCAAAAAGGTTTATCCAATAGAAATAGCAAGCGAAAAAAGATTTTCAAGTGAGTATCAGGGTTTCTGTTTCCATCAGAATTCACCAAAGAAAAACTTGAGGTTGCGTTTATGTGTAAATAGTTCATTTTCCCTGGATTAATCTCTTTGCTATGGAACATGCCAAAGGAAGAGAAAAAAACCACATATTATTACCAACAGTTGATCAGTTTAATGACAAAGGTACCTACCCGTCTGGTAAATCGTCGATGTTGTAGTGGTGCAAGGACAGTAGCATAACAAAGAGCTAGAAATGCTGGAACCGACAGTGGTCGAGGATAGAAAATATAGGTACGAACTACTTCCATCCCTCCACGAATCGTCTGCAAATGACGAGGAAATACCAGACCTGGGATGAGACGAGGACGACAAGAACTGGGAAGCAGTCTTTACATCACTCGATGGACCATGTAGCCATGAAGAACTTTTCAAGTTCCTTGAATCAGGTCCACAAGGGCAAGTACACAAGGATTCTGAACTGGAAAATGCTGTCAAACGGATGACAATACGAAACAGTTAATGACCCAATTATAGATGACATTGGAAGGTGAGGTTTTGATAATTTTAAATTTTGGGCATTTAAATTGTTATTTGCTATGCATTTATTTACTCTGGCATAATGTCAGAGGGTACGAATGACGTCCATTTGGACGATTGCAGCCCTTTGTTTTAAACTGATATTTAAGCTTATAATTTACTTTCTAACAACTTTGCTGCACGGTTATTATGGACATTGAAAATCCTAGAAATACACAGGCCGCTTGTCATACATAACATTCATGCACGGCCTAGCCAACTAAAGGTTTCTCTGTTATTCCTTTAGTGCCACAGGCTCTTTAGACAGCTTATGTTTGAAAATGAAGCCATTAGGTTCCTGAATGATTATGACTGTTCGGTGAAACTCCGTAATATGTTTGATAATATCACCCTTGCTTTTATAATCAAATCTATTTTTTTCATCGTGTTTAGGATCATATTGACCATTGATATTATTCTTATTATCACTACGGTGTTTTAATAACAGTCAAAATGCAGTGCTATAATAACTCTGTCTTTCAAAGTGATGAGGTTGTGCAACGAAAGAAGATTTTCAAGTGAGTATCAGGGTTTCTATTTCCATCAGAATTCACCAAAGAAAACCTCGAGGTTGCTTTTAAGTGTAAATAGTTCATTTCCCCTGGAATAATCTCTTTGCTATGGAATATGCCAAAGGAAATAAAAAAACACATATTATTACCAACAGTTGATCGGTTTAATGACAAATGTACTTACCCGTCTGGTAAATCGTCGATGTTGTAGTGGTGCAAGGACAGTAGCATAACAAAGAGCTAGAAATGCTGGAACTGGCAGTGGATAAGAAATATAGGTACGAACTACTTCCATCCCTCCACGAATCGTCTGCAAATGACGAGGAAATACCAGACCTGCGATGAGACGAGGACGACAAGAACTGGGAAGCAGTCCTTGCATCACTCGATAGACCATGTAGCCATGAAGAACTTATCAAGTTCTTTGAATCAGGTCCACAAGGGCAAGTACACAAGGATTCTGAACTGGAAAATGCTGTCAAACGGATGACAATACGAAACCGTTAATGACTCGATTATAGATGATATTGGAAGGCGAGGTTTTGATAATTTAGGTTCCCGAATGATTATGACTGTTCGGTGAAACTCCGTAAATGTTTGATGCTATTACCCTTGCTTTTATCATCAAACCTATTTTTTTCATCGTGTTTAGGATCATATTGACTATTGATATTATTCTTATCATCACTTCGGTGTTGTAAAACAGTCAAAATGCAGTGTCATAATAACTCTGTCTTTCGAATATTTCTTTAGCACTTACAGTACATAGATGTCTCATAGACGGTTGAAGATGCTGTGCTGCAGCGGCAGTAGCATAAGGGAGAGCCAGGCATGCTGGAAGAGGTGGACGAGAATGAATAATACTGAGAAGAATTTCTCTCATCGTTCGATAAAGCTTTTGTGACTGACGAAGAAATACGAGACGCGAATGAGGTATTTACTACGCTTGTGGTTGCATACAGGAATGAGGAACTTTGTGAGTCACTCAAACCAAGTTCGCAAGGACAAATGCAGGAGTATTCTTCGACCGCATGGCTGGAAAAAGCTGTGAAATAAATGAGAATAATTAACTGTTAATAAGATTAAACTTGGAAAAGTGTACTTTCACAATTTACATAAACGAACCAAAGGCGAACTCTATGTTCAAAGATTCGGCCGGATTCGGAAAAATGTTGTTCGGTTAGGTTAGTTCAGAGTGCGATACGCTCCGAAGTATCTCGAGACTTTGGGATACGCTGTAATTGTTGTTACCTGAACTCTATGCGCTCTCTTCTTGAATGTAAGGATGCCCAAAATCAAAGGTAAAATAAAAAATGGTGCTTTGTTGAGCGAATTTTAAAATGTGGGACGCTTCGCAAGTTAAGGTGTCCAATAGTCTTGGAAGATTTGGGCATATGATAAGACAAATGGAAATATGACTCAGTAGATAAAGAAAGTGAAATTAACCTCTCTCTTTTCCTTATCTTTCGCCATTATCATCATCGTCTTTATAATCATCATTCTTATTATGTTTGTTAATCTCGTCATCATCATCATCATCATCATCATCATCATCATCATCATCATCATCATCATCATCATCATCATTATTATTACAGTTATTATCATGGGCACTCCAGCATACTTACGTGTTTGGTAAACACTTGAGGGTGTTCCACTGCAGGGGCAGTAGCATGAAGAGAGGTCAAGAATGTGTGAGGAAGTACTGGAGGATAGGTAATACTTGGACGAAATGCTTCCATCGCTAAATGAAGCTTTTGTGAATGACGAAGAATTATCCAAGGAGAGAGGGATCAAAAATGAGAAACTTTTGGATGAGGTAGCATATGCAGGCAAGGAACTTTGCAAGTCCTTGAAAACAGAGTTGCAAGGACAAGTACACAAGGATGCGTCTGCTGAAGAGCTTGAGGAAGCTGTATAAGCTGTGAAGTGGTAAATAGTAAATGCTATATGAATTACATAAGGTAAGATATAATTTAAGATGTACTGTATAAATCTGAGTCGGAACTCCATGAAGAAAACATGTCAAAAAATCCTACCACTCCCCATCTATTCAGATTTTTTGGTAAGAAAATCCTAATCCGTCAGACACTTTTTAATTGTACATGTTAGACTTTGTACATGTTACTTCCAGCAAGATGAGGAAACTACAACAGCATTAAGGTCCTAAACAACACGAATACCGTAAAATGGAATAAAGCTTGCTGCCCTACAACATCCCCATTCCTCATTATGCAAAAGTTCTTTGAGAGGACAGAAAAGAAGCGAAAACAGTATAATATCTTAGGGTCAAAGGCTTTTGTTTTTTGGAATAATCGGGAATAATCGTTAAACGGAAGTCATTCCAAACAAGCTCTGTGCACTACTTGATTTCAAACGATTCATAAATCATTTTATATTGGCACATATGATTATGAATCTCTTTTGTACATGCAAACTAGCCTTCTTGACCTTGCTTTGGAGTGAAACTTCAATGTTTTTAGTGTGTTGTCGAGGCCAGGGCGGTTTGTTCCATAGCTGGTTAAGATAACCTAGAGCGAGTGTGAGATCCGATATCATACCTGATAGTTTTAAAAGAAAATTCAGTACAATTATTTTTGAATTTTTATTCTAAATTTGATTATTGGACGCCCTAAAAAGAATAGAAAAAATGCCCGAAAAAGGCTTTTCAACGAAAGAATAAAGAAACCCGGATTGAAAGTTAACCCTGGCTAATAAAACAAGTCAATTAGCAATTGTACTTACACGTCTCGAAATGAATCGATGATGTTCCTTTGCAGGGACAATGGCAGAACGAAGATACGACGTATTGGGACGAACGGTCTCTGTCGCTTGAGTAAACGTAGAGAGAGGAAGAGGCTTGCGATTCCTTTGAAATACGCTGACAAGGGCAAGGGCACAATGGTACGTCTCCTGTTGTAATAGAAAATGCTGTCGAATAAAATTTGTATTACAGTTAAGAAATTTTCCTCAATAACATATCATGAAATATAAAAATTATAGAAGAAATACATAATATACATGGTACAAATCTTTGGATTGTTTTAATACTGAAGGACAGAATCATTTGTATCAGTACTGATAGGTCATAGCGTTGGTTTTTGGCACCCTGAACTTTGTAGGGTTAACATAATGAAGAATCTTGAATTGATTATGCAATTATTCAATCAACGAAAAAAATAACCGACAAAGAGATAATTACTAATAAAAGATACATGGGGAAACTGAAATTAATTTCTTCAGCAGCTCTTTCCCCTTAATAAGACTGATTGTCAAGATTTTAGAAAAATGCTGTCATGGATAATCACAGTATGTAAGATCTTGAATTGTAACTGCTTTTACCTGAAGTTGGTGAAGTACTGAGGCCACTTCTCTCTGAAGTAGGAGAAAAACTTAAACCGCTTCTACTTGAACTTGGGTACAAACTAAAAGGTCTCTCACTAGAGCTTGACGAAATGCGAATTTCGGTACTCGCAGAACTTGAACTCTGAGATAAGCTGAAATCTCCGCTATTGAAACGAAGATACGTACTGTGTGTATCGGAACTCGGATACACAGAGAAACTGCTGACGGATATTGAACTGCCATATGACTTTGAGTGAGCTGTGACAAAATAAGGAACGAAATAAGGTTTAATCAAGAGCAAATATGCCAATTATTTTCTCCTCGTTTGATATTGTGTATTAAAGCCGAATAGAGTCAATTGTCTCAACGCTCCAATCTCAGTTCCTAGTGATTCATGAGCGGTTTCGAATTTTGCCGCCATTTATCACAAGCTACTACTTAAGGAAAATAAATGAGCAGAAATTAATTACCAAGGAAATCGGCAGAAACTTCATCTTCGTCGATGTTCACTTCACCCGAAAATAAACATGAATGTAAAAATCACCAGTCACCAGTCACTCTTATTCAAATGATTCGAACAAAGCGGAATTTGCAAACTTTGTCTTACGATTTGACTCTACCCTACAAAACGGTATGAATGAAGATGGCATGAATGAATGGAATCTTTGTGCAATAGATACATCCACTAGAGTCCAGAAATAAACGTTTAAGTAGCCCTCAAATGCTAAGTTTCCGTGGAGCTGAATTGTTATATAATGAAGGATGGAAATGTGATTAGGAAAACTAGGGTTTTTTTTACTGATAAAAATACACCTCCGTGACGAATAAATGTAAATTGTTCGCATTTCTTTACTGGATGTACTTACGCATCTCGTAAATCGTCGATTTCGTTGTGCTGCAACGGCAGTAGCATAGTGAAGAGCCATAAAAGCCAGATCTAAAGGTGCTTGAGGATGAGAAATGCAGGGACGAAGTACTTCCTTCTTCGGAGGAAGAATATGAGGTTGCATAACTTTGCAAGACCTTCAAAGGTGAGTCGCATGAGCAAGGACATAAGGATGTGGCTTCTGTCGGACTGGGAATCGATGCTAAAAAGATTAAAATTGTCAGAAATAAGTTAATTAAGTTCGTCATAAATGATTTTAAACTGAATTGTATACTTTCCTTGCTAAAAGAAGGAAACTTCAATAGTCTCTTAGAGTCCCACGCCTTTCTTGGGTTTTCACAAGCATTATCGTATCCAGAATCCAGGATCGAAATGGAAATTGATGGAAAATAGATCAATATTTTTGAAATTTTGACATTTTTAAAGGTACTCTGTCTTGAAAAATGTGCTACTTTTAAATTCCTTAAATTATGTCTCCCGACATCGAAATGTCGGCTATAGGAGGGTCTCCATGGGATGATGGCTTTTACGGCTGACGGTTAAAATTTTGGTGATTTTACGGCTATTGTGTAATTCGTTTTTAACCGTTGACACTTTCCTATACGACTAACGGTTAAAATTTGTCCATTTTTACGCCAAACGGGTTAATTTTTTGGCCGCTGTACGGCTACGGGTTAACCCCATTGAGACTCTCCTATAAGAAAAGTATCGATTATGTCAAAAGAGTTATGATTTCGTTCACTCAGCGGTCAAAGTGTTTGAGGAAATTTTTTTCAATCTAGCATTGGATAGCTAATAACATTTTTGGCGAAACTAGGGAAAAGATGCTTGCATTACTTTCCGGCCAAAACAATTGAAGCATATCAGTCCTTGTTTCCCATACTAAGACTTCTAAATTTAACTTTACACACTTCAGTGGATAACTATTGAGCGAAAAACTACACATGTGTATGAAGACTTTGGCTAACTTTTTACTTGTTGGCGTGTGCAATGTATAATTTTTCTTCATTCGAGTACGGAATTATTTCATTACAGTTTTCGCGTGACATCGATAACCTCTAATTAATTAATTAGCATTCTCATGACGAACTAAACGAGTAGAATCGCTTTTGTTTTACAACAGTTCGTGGGCATAGTGTTCTACGCCTGTAAATTCCTCTACTGTTTCATGCTGGTAAAATTAATTTCCGCCGATGTAATTTAGTCAGGCATTTCTTTAGAAGTAGTTAAGTTTTGATGTCGTTCAATTGCATGTTTTGACCGATTGACGATTAATTAAGTGCTTCGATCCGTAATTTACCCGACCGCACGAGCATAACTTAAACAATGTTACTGCCACTTAGATTGGTGTAGGAAACATAGGAATTTAGTATATTTACTGGTGATATATCACTTCCCCTGTGTAAACATTAAAAAAATGCATTGAATAAACATGGAGTATTTGGATAGCTCCATTTAATTTATTCTGTATAAATTCTTGTTCTTGATTCACATCGAAATGTTAATAAGCAAATAACATGCATATGTGGGTCTTTCTTAATGAAAAGATCAGCGATTTCTGTCAGCTAGCCTCCTAGCGTTACTTCATAGCGCATATTGAAAAATAATGATACATAATTCCAGATAGAAATCATGATCTTGCCTCATAGCAATTGATGTTGCCCTGACACCCTCTGATGCTTCAATTATGAATCTGTCAAATCTGTAGACATTAGTCTTAGTAAGTGATATAAAAATCTTTACCCTTACGGGAATAATGATGCTACGACACTAAGTAACGCTTTTGACAATCAGTTTTAAAAATTTAATGCTATTTAGCGTGTAGAACCAATGGTGTAGACAATTAATTCGAATGACTCAAACGACTCGCACACAAACACAAAAGCCTGATTGTTCAAATCAGAATTGAGACACATAGCAAGGACAAGTAACAGTGTTGTCTTCCGGAGATATTGTAAATGAGCATAGCTGGAAATGCTAAAAATCTAAACATGGCACGTGCCATAACCTCCTTCTGCGTCTGGGTTGGCGGCTTAGAAATATTTCTCAGTAACAGATTCTAACTTTAGAGTACAGGAAATTAATTGTTGTCCGTCAATGGCTGCACTATTTGTTGTTTCTGGAATGTTCCATATAACAGACACGATTTGGGGACGAATATTCAAATTTTAGATCCTTTTATATCTAATCTTGGGCAACAGTAGGAAATTTAGCAGGACTTCATAAAAAAATCATGAACAACGCGTAGACGCGACATTATTTTCCGCTTTCTGTTTGCAGTAACGGTCATCTGGAACTTTCTTTAGTAAATCGTGGCTGAGGCGAGATTATGATAAGATACTTTACAAATCACAAAAGAAAGAAATATACGGTTTGGAGACAACTATAAAAATTTCAGAGTCTTTTTATAGCTAACCTTGAAGGGCAGCGGGAAATCGAGTAGCACTGCATAAAAAATTAATGAACAACGCGTAGACGCGGCCTTATTTTCCGCTTTAATTCTGTTTGCAGCCATCTGGAAACTTTCTTCTATAAATCGTTGCTGAATCGAGATTATGATACGATGCTTTGCAAATCAGAGAGAGAAGAATTATATTTTCACTCACCTTTTGAGGTGATAAGGATGACGTTTAACAAGAACCAAAAAACCCACATAATCCTGCTTCCAGACATCGTCAAATTGTGTTTTGTAATTATTGACATAGCGTCATCACTCTTGCGTATAGTCGATATCGACTGCCGATCAACAATAGAGGCAGTTCATTCGGCTTTGCCTTTTCTACAGCCAAAGTTTTAAGAATGTGGTCAAAATCCCAAACTCAAATGATCTTGCCAAGTTGAACGGATAACCTTCAAATCTACTAAATTTGCTCGATGTCCGATTATTGGCGTGGCTTTCCAAGAAAACGAGTTTGACATTCATGCTAATGAAATCGAGGCATAGGGTAAAATTACACTGGACCACTGGACCACTGGACCCTTGGACTATTGAACTATTTTCTGGGCCATTTTTTTACCACTTTTTGGGACCATATTTTGGATATTATTTGGACCTTTTTTTTTTCAGGACTATTTTAACAGGGAAAGGTAGACCATTAGTACTTAGGAAGGGCGGAAGGCAAATTGTTGTTACTGGGGTAGGGCTGGGATGCAGCCTATCAGTACTTAGGGAGGGGTGGACGGTAAACTGTTGTTACTGGCGTAGGGCCGGAGGAGGGAGGGGCGGGAAGTTGTTGTATTAGTGAATGCTACTGATTAATGGAGTTTTTAATGGATCATACAAATTTTTTTTGAGCAGGTTTTCGACTGGCTATTTTTATGTAAACATTTTTGCGCTGGGTCGTAGCGTTTCTTTATTTTTTTGTCATGTGAGTGCGAAACTGGTACCTAAACACTGAAATATTTTTCCATTGCCGAAACTTGATGATCAATAAGCCATCGTTGCTTTGGTAACGTTTGTATTCTTGTAAAGGCAATCAAGGCCCGTCAGTAATCAACCTACAATCGATCTTGGTGAGATTTGCATTCTTCACCGGCCGCTTAAGTCTGAAACGTTTAAATGCGGACGTAGGCATTTCGATTTAGGGAAAAAATTTAGAAAACAGCAAGTTCTCGACTGTTTTTATTGCTGCGTTTGTTTTTCGGCTTTGATAAAATAGAAAAGTTTCCTTTCACAGCTTGATATATGCATATATATATATGGCTCGATTAATCTGTGTAGGCGTAGAAATCGGACAATTAATTTCGGATTTCTATCTGTCTGCTTCATATGTAGCCTTGTTTGCTCTAATCTCGAGTCAATTGGTAAGCATTTCAACACCGGTGATGTTATGAAGAGATATATTCGCCATTTTAAAATTATCTATCCTGAGGGTTTTAAATTCTCTAATAACTCCCTACTGTTTGTACAAATCTTAACATAAGCGTTGAATAACACCTAAATTTAGTCATGACGACGGGGCGGAACAGATCGACGGAAAAAATTCGATAATTGGTTTTTGTAAAGGTAATAGGATGATGTCGAGTGCAAGTTGGTGTGAAAAAAAAAAAAAAAAAATTTTCAAAGACAACAAGATTGTACGAGCCCTAAAGGCGAATACAATTTGCAGTCTAAAAATAAAATATTCAAGTGTCTACTTACACGAGAAATCATGCTGTCACTTGTTGATAATTTGCATGAAAAAAAGCATCGCAAAAGATCTTTACAGACTTTAATTACAGTACATCACGCTATTTTTGATTTATTTGAAATTTCCTATGGCTCTCTTTCCACAGCGAACAGAGCACACGCTTTCATTTGACACATTTGTCAGAGATAAAATAGAAAAAAAATATTAATCACGTCTAGCTGTCTTTAGCGGGCATTTGTTAATCTCTATGAATATATTTTTTAAGTATTTCTGAGAATCACTTTTATCATACATTGAATTATACAACTTTGTACCAGCTTTATCTTAAACCATGTCCTATCAAAATAAAAATTTCGGGAGATATTGTTAATGAGCATAGCTCGAAATGCCAAAAGCCTAAACATGGCACATGCGATAACCTCTTTCTGCGTCTGGTTTGGTAGCTCAGAAATATTTCTCGACAACAGATCCTAACTTTAGAGTAGAGCACATTAATTGTTTTCCGTCAATGAAACTTGGCTGCACTATTTGTTTTTTTGTAACTGTTCCTTATTGGAGACACGATTTGGGGACGAACCTTGAAGGGCAGCAGGAAACTGAGCAGGACTGCATAAAAAATCATGAACAACGCGTAGAAGCGACAACATTTTTTTTCTTCCTTCTGTTTGCAGCAACGTTCATCTGGAACCTTCTTCGGTAAATCGTTGCTGAGGCGAGATTATGATAAGATACTTTGCAATCACAAAAAGAAGAAGTATATTTTAACTCACCTTTGCAGGTGATAAGGATGACGTTTAACAAGAACCAAAGAACCCACATAATCCTGCTTCCCGACATCGTTGAGTTGTCATTTGTTATTAATAATATACCATTACACTTCTGTGTATGGTTATCTACTGCCGATCAACAATAGATGTATTTTACTCGGCTTTGTCAAAGTTTTAAAGTAGTGGTCAATATCCCAAGCTCAAATGATCTTTGCCAAGTTGAACGGATAACCCTCAAAGCTACTGAATTTGCTCAATGTTTGATTAATGGTCCACTTTTCAGCTTTGACGACTTTGACTTTGGCTCTAATGAACTTAGTGATCAATAAATTTAATCATGAACAAATCAGTGCGTTAATTGAACATCGTTGCTTTGGTAACTTTTGTATTCTTGTTATGGCGTTACCCGTCAGTAATTAGTTCACAATAGACTTTGGTAATGACTTTTCACCGCGTAGGCATTTTGATTCAGGGACGAAATTTAGAAAAAAAGCTTTTAAATCTTCAACTGTTTTTATTGCTACGTTTGTTTTGCCACTTTGATAAAATGGAAAGTTCATCTTCACAGCTTGATAGTTAACTTGGAAGATAACCGTTTTCAATGTATATGGATCGATCAATTTGTGTGGGCTTAGAAAACGGACAATGTTTCGTATTTCTATCTATCGGATTCATATATAGCCGTGTTTGCCTTTATCTCGTGACAATTGCGAAGTGCTTTAATACAGGTGATGTTATGAAGAAATATATTCGCCATTTTGAAATTATCTATACTGAGTGTTTTAAATTCTCGAATAACTCCCTACTGTTTGTACAAATCTTAACATAAGCGTTGAGTAACACCAAAATTCTTCTTCGAAAGTAAAATTCTCAAAGACACCAAAACTGCACGAGCCTTATTTAAAATAAATTTACAAGTGCTTATTTACACCAAATTACACGAGAAATCATGTTATCACTTGTTTTCATGAAAAAAAGTATCACGGAAGACCTCGACAGACTGTAATTACAGCACATCACGCTACTTTTGATTTATTTGAAATTTCCTATGGCTCTCTTTCCGCAGCGAACAGAACACACGCTTTCATTTAACACATTTTTTGGAAACAAAATAGCAAAAAAATTTAATCAAGTCTAGCCGTCTTTAGAGGGCATTTTCTTCCTCTTTACAGACACGATTTGGGGACGACTATATAAATTTTAGAGCCTTTTTATACCTAACCTTGGAGGGCAGTAGGAAACTGAGCAGGACTGCATACAAAAATCATGAACAACGCGTAGACTCGACATTATTTTCGCTTTCTGTTTGTAGTAACGTTCATCTGGAACTTTCTACGGTAAATCGTTGCGGAGTCGAGATTATGATAAGATACTTTGCAATTCACGAAGAAAAGAAATATACAATTTGGAGACGATCATGCAAATTTCAAAGTCTTTAAATACCTAACCTTGGAGGGGAATAGAAAACTGAGCAAGACTTCATAAAAAAAATTATGAACAACGCGTAGACGCGACATTATTTTCCGCTTTCTGTTCGCATCAACGTTCATCTGGAACTTTCTACGGTAAATCGTTGCTGAGTGGAGATTATAACACAAAGAAAAGAAATATACGATTTGGAGACAATTATATAAATTTTAGAGTCTTTTTACACCTAACCTTAAAGGGCAGCAGGAGACTGAGTAGGACTGCATAAAAAAATTAATGAACAACGCCTAGACAGGACAACATTATTTTCCGCTTTCTGTTTGCAGCAACGGTCATCTGGAAACTTCCTTCGGTAAATCGTTTCTAAAGTGAGATTATACGATGTTTTGCAAATCACAAAGAGAAGAAATATATTTTCACTCACCGCTTGAGGTGATAAGGATGACTTTTAACAGGAACCAAAAAACCCACATAATCCTGCTTCCCGACATTGCTTCCCGACGATTATTTTCCTTCCCCCTGTTTTGTAATTAATGTTATACATGCCGAGATTTACGCGCCAAAAAGCATCAAGATAAAAATAGTCTCTTCGCCCAAGAGAAGCCAACTGATTGGTCATACGATTTATTTCATTTGTGAAAAACGACGTATCGACGCTCTGATTGGCTTTATCAATGTTTTCTCTAGTGAACAAAACCTTGTCGCTCGCTCGCTCGCCGCTCCTCTTGACTAACAAATAGCACATTGCTAAGAGCATAGGCGCACTTTTCTTTAGAAAGATGGCTTCAAATCAGACTAATCGTTTTCACAGCCTAGATTCATCAGCAGAAGAGTTCATAGACAGACAGGAAAATTAAAACACCCAGAAAGAGACCAAACACGATATTGCGCTGTTCCACGAATTTCTCGTTTTGAAAGGCGAGAGGAGACAAATGTACTCCTCAAGAGCTGAACAAGTTTCTCAGCGAGTTCCTTTTAACGGTTCGTAGAATTATTTCGACATATTTTCAGGGTGTCTTATTTCATTCTAACTAGTTCTGCCTTTTAAAGGCTGGTTAATTTAAATATAAAGTATTTTACAAGGAAGCCATTTCGGTGCAACTCTCGAACTGTGAGGCGGCTCGACCGCGCGTTGTTTTCCTTTGAAAGAAAATAAAAATATGTTCATCTCTGAGTTCTGTTCGCTTATGAATCTCGGTATGTATATAATAAATAAGTTACTTCACGGCTATTTCGCTTGTTCGATTTTTATTCACAAAAACAAACGAACGAGCGCAGCGAGTGAGTTTGTTTTACACAACTTGTGAATAAAAATCGTACGCGCTCACCAACCGTGAAATAACCTTTGAATATATCTTCATCACTCTTGCGTATGATCGATGTCTACTGCCGTTCAACAATAGATGCAGTTTATTCGGCTTTGGCTTTTCAAAAGCCAAAGTTTTAAGAATTTGGTCAATATCCCAA